GTCTTACAACAATCAAAGAAATCAGAGTCAATATAATAATCGATATAGTTATCAATACCAATCCTACAATAACAACAATAATGGAGAAAATAATACGTGGAAAAATTATAATCAAAATATTAATCAAAGAAAACAATTACAATATAATGACGTGAATCAAAGTAACATAAATTGTAACATGAACATTGAAGAGATTGTTGAAGAAAAAAATAACCCTACACAAAATAATAATGGTAGTGATTTTACTGTCAACAATTTAACTGAGTTTAAACTTAATGATAATGCGTTCATGATTACTTTAAAAGTAAATGATGCTGCTGTTACTATGCAGGTTGATACGGGATCCAAGTTCACGATTATACCTCATGATATGGCTAAACAAATAGGTATTAAAGATCTTAAAAAGTCCACTCTACAACTCACAGCATATGATGGAAACTTAATCAAAATTATTGGCGTCACTCAAGTTAAAGTAACCTACGAAGGTATCACCAAACACTTGAAAACCGTGGTCGTTAAATCTAATAAAAACGTTATTGGGACGTATGTGGATTAATGCCTTTAGTAATATTTTGAACAAATTTATAGCAAACCTTGATACCAACTATGAAGAGAAATTAATAATAGATTGCGAATCAAAACTGAGTAAAAAACCGATCAACAAAGGGAATGTCAGATATATCTACGTAATGACGCCAAACCGAAAATCATACCACCTAGACGGTTACCAAATTCAAAGATAGACGCTGTTACTAGAGAACTTACGAGATGGATTGTAGATAAAGTCATTGAGCCGGTAACAGATGTCCGATGGGCAAGTCCGATAACCACTGTCTACAAGGATAATGGGAGCGTTAGGGTTTGCGCCGACTTCAAAGACATTGTCAATCCAGCCCTTGAGGACTTCAGATACCCACTTCCAAGAATAAACTATCTTATCGCTAAGCTCAAGGAAGGGAAGAAGTTCACCAAGATAGATTTTAAGGATGCGTTCCTACAAATTCCCATCGACGAAACCTGCAGAGACATATTAACTATATCTACACAGGGGGTACTACCGGTTGACCAGACTTCCTTTTGGGTTAAAGACTTCATCTGCGATTTTCAACAAATTATGGATCAAATTTTCGGTGACATGAAAGATGTCGTATTTTATATTGATGATCTACTAATAACGGGAAGTAGTGACGAAGTTTATTTCAACAACATAAAGAAGATTTTTGAAAGAATACTATCTCATGGCTTAGTGCCTAATTTTGCAAAAAGCTTATTTTTCAAAAAAAGTCTAAGGTTCTTAGGACACGACACGCCAAGGGGATCCACGCCAACCATGACAAGATCGAGGCGATCGTTAAAATGCCGGAACCTAAATCAGCCGCGGAATTGTTAACGTTTCTAGGTATGGCCGGGTACTACAGAAAATTTTTGAACAACTTCGCTAAAATAGCTGATCCTTTATACAAGATTGTTAACAAAGAAAAATGTGAGTGGAATTTGGAACACTCCAAAAGTTTTGATGATCTAAAGACATTGATTAGTCTCCCTCCAGCTTTGACGTACTTTAATCCTGAACTACCTATCGGAATTGCGACTGATGCATCTAAAAGAGGTTTAGGAGCTGTTTTGTTTCACACCGAAAAAGATGGCAAAGAAAAGCCAATAGCTTTTGCCTCGAGAACGAGCAAAGTCCGAGATAAATTATACTAACATTGAGCGTGAAGCTCTGGCCATTATGTTTGCTATCAAGAGATTTCAAGAATACTTGATAGGGACTAAGTTCACTATTGTAACGGATCACAAGCCGCTAATCCATATTTTCATCAAAGGGCTCAAAGATAATAGCACCATGTCGTTAAGGTTACAGAAGTGGAGTATAATTTTGGGGGGTTACGACTTTAACATCAGATATAAAGCTGGTAAATACAATGTTGTTCCTGATTGCCTCTCAAGACTACCACAAGTAATTGATGATGACGTTATTGATGATATCGCGATTATAAATGACTTTGGCGATATACCTCTTAGTTTTGACCGAATACGTGATGAAACGTCCAAAGATTTTGAATTATCTCAAGTTATTAATGATATAAGAAATAATGTGCCTATTAAAAACAAAATTTATCAAAATATTGAATATGAACTTAGCATCATTAAAGATTGTCTGTACAAAAGCGACAAAATAATAATTCCATCAAGTCTCAGAAAGAACATACTGAAGGCGTTACACGAAGGTCATTTGGGAGCAGGTAAAATTAAATCCTTAGCCAAAGATCGTATGTGGTGGTCTGGTATGGTCAATGACATTGATTTGGAAGTCAAAAGTTGCGATGATTGTAATATTTATCATGACAATCCAAAGAAAATACAAAATCCATGGGTAGCAGCAACTAAACCATTTGAAAGGATACACATAGATTATGCGGGTCCATTTTTTACAAAGAATTGGTGATAATCGTTGATGCTTACAGTAAATTTCCAGTTATAGTTCCGGTAAAGAGTATTACGACTGAATTCACGTTAAAAGAAATTTATAAAACTATTTCACTATTTGGAATACCTGAAACCATTGTTACAGATAATGGTACCAATTTCACGAGCAAAGATTTTGAAAAATTTTGCAGCAATTATGGTATAAAACATGTACTAACGTCGGCCTACCATCAGCAATCTAATGGACAAGCTGAACGTATGGTGAGAACATTTAAAGCTCACATGAAAAGAAATATAAAAATTGACTTAGAAACTGCACTGGACAGATTTTTGTTCAACTATAGAAACACGCCGAATGACACTACGGGAATTACACCGTCCAAGAGAATGTTTAACCGCGACATTAGAATAAAGTGGGATTTATTAAAACCTTTGGAGGATAAAGTTGATGAAATCAACAAATCGTTACCACAAAATCGAACTTTTAATATAGGAGACTATGTTTGGTATAAGAAACAGGGTGACGATACGTGGTGCAAAGGCAGCATGAAGCTTAAAGAGAGTAACACCATGTTCCAAGTTTATACTGATAAAGGGATAGTAAGAAGGCATCTTGATCAGTTAAGGAAAAGAGAATGTTACAACAGTTTAAAATATTATGAAATTGACCCTAAGAATTCCTCTAAGGGGGGAAGTGTGGACACGAAGAATGAGATTAAGATACCAATTACTAGACCAATAAGAATTAAAAATAAACCTGATTACTTAAAAGATTACGTGCTTAAGATTTAAAAATATAAAACGCAAAAAAATATAAAACGCTAAAAAATATAAAACGCTAAAAGTATAAAACGCTATGATTAACTTAACACCTAAAAAATAATATAATAATCATTATGATTTATCATTCCTTATTCTGGATTAAAATTTTATTCCTTATTCCATAAATTATCATTCCTTATTACATATTTTATTATTCCGAAATTCAAAATTTTATTCGTGCATATTATTCATATATTTGATTTGATCAACTATTCCAAATTATATATTCCGATTTATTCCAAATTCCAATATTCGACTGGATTAATTATGAAACATGATAATAACAATTTTGGGAAATTTGATAATAATAATGACTGAGTTTAACAAGCAAGCTATGTGACAGATTCACGATTCCTAAGGACAACTTACGATAAGGATATCAAGCTTATGATTTTATAAAACCTACTCGATTGATTCAAGCCTACGAAAACGTATGGACTCACGCAACTCTAATAAACGATTTTATCAAACCTACGTGATATAATCAAGCCTACGAGAACATTTGAGACTTATGCGCTAACCAAGAAGAAACCGAGTACAATCGAAACGGGAAAAACTTCTGGGACAACAAGCTCTCGATGACTGCTGAGAAGAAGCTTTGTTCTTTGTAGAAGAGGGGGAGATTAATTTGAATATTTATTTATTATATCATTTGAATATCTCGTTTTGTTTTTATAAAATAACTAATTGAGTATTAATGTTACATATTGTGTTTATTCAAATTTATTGAGTATTAACTTAAATGTTTTGATTGAAATGTTTTAGTATATATACAGCCGATTATTATACATTATTATTATTATTTTATATTTTTAAATAGTTAATAAAATTCAAATTTATATTACTGAAAACAAACTTGCTTAACCATTACTTAAAACATATAAAGGCGCTTAATAATAATAGAAAGGAGAGTATTGTCTGGCTATGTATTGATTGGCCACAATTCTCACATTCACATATTCATATTGAAATGAAAAGTTCATGCAAAACAACATTTGATTAAATTTAACATGATGAACAAACTTAAGAATGTTTAGCAAAAAAATAATTAAGATATTAATTTATAATATTATCATTAAATAGATAATGATAAATTGAGATATTAATACCAATTAAATTAGTGTATGATTAATTTTTTTTTTATAACTAAAAAATTTAGATATATTAACATAGGTCTTTTACAAGTATTTCATATTGATTATTTCATATTCATAATTGTACCAATATGGGATTGATATTTATATTGCTGAGGCTAGTGGGAGAGACTGAACATAATGCAATATATATAAATTATTGAATTTGGTAATCTTACTGAATACCCAAAAATGATTCTCTTTTATTTCAAATCTTTTTATTTTATTCCACTTTTAATATACCAAAAAAATTATAATTTCGTAAAAATTCATAATAAAAGTAAGTAATCAAAAATTATATATTTCTTTTTCAACTATAATCTAAAATATTCATATTCATAGACATTTTTAAAATAATTATATTTATTTGCATACGATGAAAGTTCATTTATATAAATTTGAATACCACCCAATTAAGAAGGGCTCAACTAAATATATATTTGCATACAACACCTCCACCCTTTAAGATTATCTTTCCAAGGCTTCCTTCGTTAGTGCCCCACCTTCTCGCACTTCCAACTCTGAACCGTTCATTGAAGACGTTGTTGTCGTCGGACAAAACCTTAATTTATGCATTCCCCCGCATGCCCAACATGCGAATCGACTCTTCCGAACCTAATATGGCTCCACTCGTTCTATCCTTTGTCTTCTGGGTGTTTCCTGTAGTAACTCCCCGTATCTTTGTTGCGCTTCTACCCTTGCTGCTTCGATCCATCTGTTGGATTCGGCCGATCCATCTGCTTCCCTGATTTCCATCTTGATAATCTTGTTTCTTACTCGGACATATGATGCCATCTATAAAATTTCTATAAAAATATATATCTTTCCTAATCTTCTAATAATCTACTATTCACCTTATAATTTCTTCACCGTTTAAACCCTCATAATTAGGTCTATCATTAAATTTATTTCCTCGAGAATGATTATTCTCCTCATTGATCTCTTGAAATTATGATTCTTCTAATTATGTCTATCATCAATTTTCTTTCATCTAACGATATGATTCTCAAATTAGGTCTATCATCAATTTATCTTCTTTTACTTGTATCCCCTGATAAATTATGATTCTCATCATTATGTCTATCATCAATATGATTCTCCTAATTATGTCTATCCTCAATTTATCTCTTTAACAATTGATTCTCATAATTAAGTATATCATCAATATGATTCTCATAATAATGTCTATCATCAATTTATTTCTTTTAATTGTATCCCCTGATAAATTATGATTCTCATCATTTTGTCTATCATCAATATGATTCTCATAATTATGTCCATCCTCAATTTATCTCTTTAACAATTGATTCTCATAATTAAGTATATCATCAATATGATTCTCATAATAATGTCTCATCAATTTATTTCTTCTAATTATCTCCCATATCTTTTACTTGCCCTAAGCTTCTCAGTCTTACTTGTTTTACGTGTCTAGTAAAAGTGCCTTCTTGCCCTTCAATCTCTACTTCTACTTTCTTTTTTCCTATATTCTTACTTATTATACCCTTCCCCCATTTAACTGGACCCTCAAACAGTAGAATCCATACTAGACTTCCAACTTTAAATTTATCATCATATGTATCCTCCTTTTGCGTTATTCTTTCTTTAAAATCTAATTCCGTTCTTGTCTTTCTACCTAAAAACATTTCTGATGGTGAATTTCCTTTGCTTGTTTTAGTATTGTTATATGCTAATAATAACAACCACCATTTTCCCTCTCCATATTTTTCTTTTTTTAGCCAGCTTTTAACAATAGCTACCATTCTCTCGACCTGCCCATTTCTCGGGTAATGTGGTGGCGATACTAAATGTTTAATATTCCACTTATCACAAAATTGATTAAAAACTCTACCTTTAAATGCTGGGCCTCCACCCAAAACTAAAGTTTCCATTAATCCATATTTACCTGCAAAATCTTTTATTTTAGTCAACGCTATCTTCGTCGTTAAACCCGAAACCTGTTGACAATCTATCCATTTCTATCCAGCATGTACCATAATAAAATATCTTCTTTTTTCATATTCTAAAAAATCTACATGTATTCTTTTATATGGAGTGTCCGTTTCTGGCCATTTATCTGCTTTATTCCTTGGTGGTACATTAGCCCACATGTTACATGTCTCGCAGCTTCTAGCTAATTCTTCAATTTCACTATTCATCTTAGGCCACCAAATATATTCTCTTGCTTTATTCTTCATTCTTTCTATGCCTGATGTCCTGAATGTAATACGGCTAATGTATCTTTTCTTAACTTAATCGGTATCACTAATCGATATCCTCTCAATAAACAATTGTTTTCTATATTTAATTCATTCCTTATATTTTTAAAAGTTTTGTCTTCTAACTTTCCATTCTGCCTTTCCTTTCAAACAAGTTCTAATTCTTATTAATTCTTCATCTTTTTGGGATATTTCCTCTATATTTTCAAACGTTATCGGTTCTTCTCTTGTATCTATCTTCAAAGCTCTTATAACTTAACTATTTAATATTTCCTCCTCTTCTATATATTCTAAACTATTGATTACTGTATCCTTGTTTGTACTGTCTTTTTTAAACAATCTCGATAATATGTCTGGTAAACAATTTTGTTTACCTGCTCTGAATCTTATTTCAAAATCGAAATTACCAACTAAAATTAACCATCTCTGTAGTCTTGGTGACATCATAAGTTCTTTATTTTCTTTTTTGAATAAATCTACCAACAGCTTATGATCCGTATATAAAATAAACCTTCTTCCTATCAGATATTCTTTGCACTTCTCTAGCCCGAATTTCACAGCCAGAGCCTCTCTCTCGATCCTGGAGTAATTTTTCTCAGTGCTACTAAACCGTCTCGATAAAAATAAAATCGGTTTCTCAACCCTATCAGTCATCTGTAATAAAACTCCTCCTATACCTTTATTAGATGCATCAACCGCTAATATAATATCCAATTTCTCATTAAAACAATTTAAAATCGGTTTCTCTACCATCTTAATCTTCAATGTTTCGAAACTTTTCTCCTGTGTTTCTCCCCATTCAAACTTTTTATTTTTCTTTAATAAATCATACAACGGTGAGGCGATTTCTGCAAAATCTTTAACAAACCGATGATAATAATTCGTTGTTCCAAAAACGCCTGTACTTCCGTTTTATTATTTGGGGCTCTCATATTCATTATCTTATCTATATTCTTTGCAATTGGCGTAATTTCATCTCCCATTATAATATGTCCTAAATACTTTATATTTCTTGTTCCAAAAACACTTTTATTAATATTGGCTTTTAAACCATTTTCTAATATAATATCTAACACTTTAACTAACCTAGCATTGTGTTCTTCTTCTCTTCTACCAGATATCAAAACATCGTCTAAATAATACATTATTCCCTTTATTCCTTGAAATAATGCCGCCATCGTTCTTTGAAATATTGGAGCTGATACTTTCAAACCAAATGGTAAACGACAAAAAGCAAATAATCCTCTATGAGTTGTAATCGTTAATATCTTACTTGTTCTCTCACTTACCTTTATTTGTAAGTAAGCATTCGAAAAAATCTATTTTTGAAAAAATTGTTGCTCCTCTTAAATTAGCCAGCAACTGTTCTATTCTAGGTAATGGATATCTTTCGTTTATTACCCACGGGTTAACTGGTACTCTATAGTCTATACACAGTCTTAAACTGTTGTCGGTTTTCTTATAGGAACTAACGGTGTTGCCCATACACTATGCACTATTGGTTTTATAATTCCTTCTTTTAACCATTTGTCTAATTCCTTATTTATATCTTCTATCCACGAAAACGGCAATCTTCTTGTGCTGCAATATTTAGGTCGATAACCTTGTTCTAATCGTATATCTACTTCAAAATCTCTAAGAGTCCCTAATTCTTCTTTAAAGACTTCCTTATATCTATTCAAAATGATCTTTATTTCTTTGTTAAAATTGTCCTCAACAACATTCAGTTCTACCCTTTTATTAATTCCTTGTTGTTTATCTTCGACTGTATTTACCTCTATTGTCATTATATCTCTTATTTTCTTCTAAGTTACTTCTATATCTAATTAAAAATTCTGGTGTTCGATTTTTGAGTTCATCGAGAACTATGTCCTGTTTAACTCTTAAACAAGGTAAATCAGTCTTCTCTTTATTCTCACTTCTTATTATCTTATTCGTTATTTTGTTTTTCTCACGGACATTTTCAAACTAAGACCACCAATTATAATCAGGACCTATCTTTTCAATGTCATTCCAACCTAAAATAGGCTCTATCTTTAGTGTCGTAATCCATAACTTTACCTCCTTATTTATATATAACAATTTTATCACATCAAAACCTAGAATTTTAACCATGCTACGGTCTAATTGTCTAATCTTTATTCTCTTTGCAATGAATCTTTCTTTTGGAAAATATTTATTAAAATCTTTTACACTATCCAATAAAAAACCTATCTCTGCTTCCTCAACCTTTATCTTGACTCTCGGACATTTATTTTTCATTAAAAAATCCTCTAATTTAATTTTTCGTACATCTACACCCGTTGAACCTTTTATTCTATATATTTCAAAATTCCTACTTTCTATCTTTATATTTCTCTCTTTACCTATACTTTTATTATCATTATTCAAATTATAATTATCAATATTAAAACACTCATTATCATCACCGGATTTATCATTAACATTACAATACTTATTCTTACTTGAACTAAAATTATCAACATTAGAAAAATTATTATCATTACCAAATTTATCATTATAATTAAAATATTTATTCTTACCTGAATTAAAATTATCAACCTTAGAAAAATTATTATCATTACAAAATTTATCATTAAAATTAAAATATTTATTCTTACCTGAATTAAAATTATCAACCTTAGAAAAATTATTATCATTACAAAATTTATCATTAAAATTAAAATATTTATTCTTACCTGAATTAAAATTATCAACATTAGAAAAATTATTATCATTACAAAATTTATCATTAAAATTAAAATATTTATTCTTACCTGAATTAAAATTATCATCCTTAGAAAAATTATTATCATTACAAAATTTATCATTAAAATAAAAATATTTATTCTTACCTGAATTAAAATTATCAACCTTAGAAAAATTATTATCATTACAAAATTTATCATTCAAAATAAAATATTTATTACCTGAATTAAAATTATCAACATTAGAAAAATTATTATCATTACAAAATTTATCATTAAAATTAAAATATTTCTCTCTTAGTCATTTATGCAATTTTCTTGTGTGTGTCCTTCTTGGGCACAATTATTGCACCTTACAATTGAATTGTTTACTCTGCAACTTATAGCCACATGGCCATTCTTGCCACACCTCGCACATCTTAGATTCTTCGTTATCTCACACTGGCGCGACATGTGGCCCGGCTGACCACAACTATAGCAAATTATCTGTCTGTAATTATCCGTTCGTATGAAGTTGTTTATATTTCTTTTCTTATCTTCCTCTCTTAATATATTCTTAATATTTTCTAACTCTTTAATCTCTATCTTAACGTAAGTCTTATTTCTTCCTATAATTAAACCTAACGTGAAACTTAAAATTAGCAACAAAAATATAATTATACTTATATTTTCAAGTATTAAACTTTATAAATTTATTTGCGTAATATACATTAAAGTGTACTCAATAACCACTTGATTAAAATAATTTTAACTAATCTTAAACAATTAAATATATATAAACATACGAATAAAACCAATACAAAGATCCAAAATTTATATAACATCAATAAGAAAACCGACAAAAATTTATATATATTTATTTTATCTTTTTTTTTTTACCTAGTTCCAATGTATAATTAGACTGACCTTCGATCTTCTAAAGCCTGGATCAATCACTGTAAGGCACCACTGTACCAATATGGGATTGATATTTATATTTCTGAGGCTAGTGGGAGAGACTGAACATAATGCAATATATATAAATTATTGAATTTGGTAATCTTACTGAATACCCAAAAATGATTCTCTTTTATTTCAAATCTTTTTATTTTATTCCACTTTTAATATACCAAAAAAATTATAATTTCGTAAAAATTCATAATAAAAGTAAGTAATCAAAAATTATATATTTCTTTTTCAACTATAATCTAAAATATTCATATTCATAGACATTTTTAAAATAATTATATTTATTTGCATACGATGAAAGTTCATTTATATAAATTTGAATACCACCAAATTAAGAAGGGCTCAATTAAATATATATTTGCATACAACAATAATAATATTCTTATTTAATATATTATTTATTATGGCATTGACTGGCCAGAAAAACAACTTTCACATCATCTAGTTCATAAACTAATATAGATAGAGCTTTGATTCAAATTTTATTTTACTGATAAATAATTGGATATAAAATTTGTTTGGTTAAACTCAAATTCTAATACCCTTTTTTCAAAAAATCAAAAATGGCTATTCATGAAACGTTTCCCCTACTCTCTGGAATATATTTCTGATCAAATCCAATGATGCAAATTTAAAAATTGCCCATTAAAATCGATAGAATATGAATCGTTCCCTAAATAACAATATATATGAGATGATAATAATTTTCATATTCCAATACAGCATATATGAGATGATAATAAAAAAATATATATATTATGTATCCTTTTAGATTACATCATTTATTATTAATAAAATTAAAGCCTATAACAATCTGTTTAATGTTTATAAATTCAAATATTTCCTTTAATTTTTTTTTAGATTTCTATTCAAATTCAATAAAATTATATATGTTAGTTTCTTATTCCGAGGTTTAACTTGGTGTGGCTATCTATTCGCCAGCATTACATTAACTTTGCAGTAAGATTTTGAGAGTAATGCATTAGCTGAAAATTTTCAGTAATGGCTTGATGAGTAATTATTTTATTACGAAATTTAAGTTAATATATGTCTTACAGAGAAAATTATTATTAAAGGAAATTTTTAAAAATTTTGGGCTGGATTTTAGAGAGAAAAATGGACAGAGCCCTGCAAATTAAAATATTTTTTAGCCCAAGTCAAGTCAAATTTTTTAATTAATTTGAATCTTTATCCCGACTTGAAATTTTTATTTATATAAAATCCCTAAACCTTGTCCAAATTTTTTATTTTAGGTTTTTATTTTTAAAATATGCTTTATCCTTTACCACAATAATCCAATTTAAATTAACTTATATTGATTTTGGAAAAAAATAATCATTAAGAAAATTAAAAAATTTATATCTTTGCAAACCCGAGCTCGGTCTGGCTGGTTTAAAAAAAAATGTAAGCAAGCGTCCAGCTTCGATTATGGAAAATTTTAGGCTCAAGATCAGGAACTCAGACCAGTTCGAACCTATTTGCATGTCTCTAGAGTAGGATCTCGGTTTAGATTCTCAAAGTTATTTTTTAAAGTTTAGACTAGATAAGAGCTTATACAAAATTCTTTGAAATGGGTTGAGGTATCGACCAAAAACCATAAATTTTTAAAAATTGTAACTTATCCCAATCATATTAAAATTGGAATCAATGAAATAAAAATATGTTTTTACTTTTAATATATAATATTGAAATGTTAACCTTGATTTCATTACCAAAATTTAAAGTTAAAAAAAAAATAAATAACACTATAGGAAAATATCATATTACACAAATTTGATTCAACATAACCTTATACCATATTGTCGAATTTATCTAATGTAACTTTCAATGTTAAAATTAGATATAGATGTTTGCATAAATATATCAAATTTCTATATACCTTTTAAGGTTGGAAAAATTCCAATTATAACAAATTTTAGAAAGGTTTGTCGAATTTTATTAAAGTATAAAAAAATTTCAAATTAATATTAGTTGCATTAAACTTCTTTTTTTTTCATCACTAAATTTCAATTATATAATGCGCTCAAGTTTCCTAGTAACAATTTATATTTATTAGATGAAGACTACTAATAACAATTTTTATAGGTCCTTATTATTTTATTGACCTTTGCGACCAACTATGGACTGGGTTTCATATCTGGTAAGAAAAATAATATTTTCATTGATATTTACTTGATCGATTTATTTTTTCCCACTCCATCATAATATTAGACTCGTTAAAGAATTTTTAAGGTATTAAATAATCTTACTATAAATATTTTAATTAAAGAACATTTAATTTAATTAATTGTAACTTATTGAGGATGTAAGAAATTTGATGATTTGTTTGTAGCCAAGAAAAATTAAATACGTAAGTTTTACTCTCTCTTCAGGGACCAATAGCTAAATATTGGAGTACTTCATTAGACTAGTTTATGAATAAAAAAGTAATTTTACAATTCTGAAATAATAGGTGTTCCCATTGTTGGCCGTAAACTATTACAAAACTGTTTATTGTCCGGAGGAAGAGATAATATATATTTAAATGAAGAAATAGCTCAATCCATACCTATATTATTCAAGCACAGTAAAATTAAATAAAATATACATTATTTATTATTTAAAATACATTTTTAAAAAATTGCTCTCTCATCTGATCCGAAATTCATATTATCAAGTTTTAGGAGATCTAATAAAAATTTGAAAATGATGGTCAGTAGAAATAAGAAATTTGAATCAGTTGCTGGCCCTACATGATTTAATATAATATCATTATATAATATTTAATAGTTATTTTTTTATATATTAAGAGATTCCTACGGACGTACAATTTTTTTCGGTCAGAAAGCCAACTAGGGAATCTGTGTGCAATTTTGAAATGCTTTTTCATCTACCACCCATTTATGTGATAGGTAAATACATATTTTATGACTTAATTCCTATTAAAATAAAGGTGTAAGAATTCCAACAACTACTATTATAGTTTCTACCAGCAATTTGACGGTAGAATATGATAGGAAAGGACTAACCGTAGTTGTACGAAGAGAATTACCCGATATCGGAATCTATAGAAGATTTAGATTTTATGTTAGAAATTTAGCGAAATCGGCAGTTCTTAATATAGACTTTGAGGTTAATTATTTAGTGTTAATATTTATGTTTTTAAAAATTAAACTATCTTTAAAAATATCACCTTGAATATTTATGTTGAATAGGTCAGATTGGGAATATAAACAAAATTTTTGAATTTCTAAATTCAATTCCAATCATAACATAAGTTAAAAATTTAATATACAAATAACCTCTAATATAATGCGTTTTAATTTATTGAATAATCGAGAAATTAAGGAAGGGATAATAAATATTGCAAATAGAAAGGATAATAGTAGAGTGAGTTGTTGATAATACTTATAAAATCTATCAAAACATATTGATCCAAATCCAAGATCTGTCAATACAGATAAAATAAATATATTTATAAAATTTTATTAAAGATACTATGCGTTATAAAAACAATCAATTTTCAATAAATAAATTTTTGTGTTATATAATTATTAACCAATATTACCAAATACATTTTGGTTTCTGATAAATAAAAACACTTGAAAAGGTGTAGTCTTGGACATAATGCCGTAATCGTAGAGTATATCCAATTATATTGCACTTTTTATTTAAACATCAGTTACATTTTATTTCACATATCATTATCAGAGCATCTCTTAGAGCATATATATATATAAACCGTTTTAAATATAATTTCCAGTTGATGGATATATATAAAAGAAACAATAAGAGAAAAAATTATTTAACTTTAAGTTAGTAAAAAATCAAAATGTGAATGTTATTTTTAGTTAATAGATTCTAAATTGATAAAAATAATATAAAAATTATTTTAAGTTAATGGTGACTTAGATGCAGGACCGTGGCAAGGAAATTCCAGCTGAGGGGGGCAGTTGCTTACATGGGGGGCACTATTTTTCTAAAATAAGACATATAATTATGAATTCATAGAAATTATTTGATATTTTTTATTAAAAATTTGCAGATGGATTTGAATACAAAATAATAATATAGTATAAATATATAAAATAATACTATAATATAATACGATGATTTTTATTTTTAAATTTTAACATAACTGCATTAAAAGATAAATACCGTGTTATTTTTTTCATAAGCCATTAATACTAAATTTTGTTTAAGTTGATCTTTCATCGATTCTCTAGTGCTCGATAGAACTCTTTAGTGTAAAATATGAAACCTCACAAGAAGCCGGGTCCAATGATGATGGCTGCTAAATAGCATTTATACAATTCTTTAAATGCAAGATGATATTTTTTTTATACATAATATTTGGGACATTTTTTTCAAAATTATGTGTTTCTTTAACTTATGGTGTTATTTATTCTTTTGTTGTTAATTTCATGATATAAAGTTTTTATATTTAAGTTAATGAGACTATTTTATCTTATATAAAATAATCAGGGTATATGTATTAACACGAGAAGATTAAAATCATCTTGAGTAAGTCTATCTAAAAAACGATCAACAAAATAATCAATAATTTTATAATAATTCTTGTTTAAAGAACTTTAATTGGAGACTTTTTCACAATCAAATTGTAATTTAGTTTTAACTGAAAAATCTTGAAAATTTGTAGGCTTTTTACGTGCCCATGATAAAAAAATTTTTGGGTGGGAAGGGGTGGAGGGGGGGAGGGTGAAATTGTTAAGTCTTTTAGCCTTAATTTTAATATAATCAAAAGAATTATCATCGCTTCTTTTATTTTTATATTGATCGTGGAATCAATACAATTTTTACCATCCACTAGATTAGTACCTACTGACTGTGGATACAAATTTAGTGGATCTATTGTTATTAAAATCTCATAATGTCTAACGTAATTTATATTTATGCATTGAGATACCAGAGGCTTTGACAGTAAAAACCTCTGAGTAGAAATGTAAAATAATTTCAGCAATAACCTCAAAATTCTCATATTCGAGGTTTCTAAATGACCAGTTCACATCTTTTAAGTGTATTGACCTGTATATTTAAAGGATACGTTAAAATGTCTAAAAAAATATACCATGCATTAGATAAATTACAAAGTAAGTCTCGGATATCTGCGTCAGAGTCTATGATATTTACGTAAAGAAGAGTAAAGAGATAATTATTATTAAAGACAAAATATTTAAAAAAAAATTTTTATTGTATAGTGCCAAAAACCAGCAAAATCAATTTAATAATAGATTTATGAATATTTATGAAAAAAATCTGTACGAAAATATTAAGGATGCTCTCCACCATGAGGTTTTATAAATAATGTAAATCGTAAGGAATTTTGGAATAACATTAATTGATGCCATAAGAATATTTACATAAAGAGGAAGTGCGGAAGTAAATGAAAAAAATTATACGATATAATCAAACTATCTACGAAAAGTTAAACAAGTGTAGATAAAAGAGAAATTATTAATTTTGATATGATCCCATATTTTTTTAAAGCTTACTAAAATTCAAATAATGTCGGTTGTATCTCACTCTATTCTCGAATTTGGTTAATTACATGATTAGCTAAATCTATAAAAAAATTTTTACTAGTTATATAAATAACGCTCTGTTTAAATTTTTTAACAACCAGCTGCCTGTAAAAATTCCATAATATTTTTCCAACATAACATTTGCTACATATTTTAAAATAGTAATTTTATAATGAAAAATTCCATAAGAAGGCTTTAGAATCCACGTTTATTGAAGATTATATTTGAAATATATAAAAATATTAATTGAATTTGGTACTCATTCAATTTTACATCTTTGAAATATTACCAATTACTTATTTAAATCTACAAAATAATATTCATATATAATTATCCAAACTTTAGCTCTTTCATCTCGTATGTCTTTTTAAACAAAGTTCTTAGGCTGAACTTTTCTGATCCTTTTTATATAATAATTGTTATAATTGCAAATTATGACAGGACAACTATAAATTGAGAGAATCATATGATTACAAGCATTTTTTATAAAAACATATATTTTAAATTATTTAATTTTCTAATTTTTTGCTAGTATACATAATAATTACATTATTTCATATAACAACTTGTCCAGTTTAAGGCTAGGATCTTATAACCAATAGGTTATAACGGAATGTGCCTTAATAAGTTTCTTAACAGTAATCGAACTACTAGAAATAAATTATTAAAAATAGTTAACTGAACCTATACATTTCTCAAACCGGTTTAAAATAGTTTAGATTACCATTCAAAACCATATATTTGTTAAGCAACACATTCCCATTGGAGTTTTTAGCATTTTTGTAGAGTTGATTTTAAATTTGCTATTGATTTTGTAACTTCGAAAAACGTAAGTAAGTTAGATTTTTTTGTAATATCTTAATGTTATTTTCTCTTGCTTTATTGTGTCTAAGATTTGAACTTCTAGAATACCTACCCCTTTATAACTTCCTGCACTCCAACTCCCTTCTAAATTAAACCAAAAAATAGAAATCCAAATTAAATTTAATATAAATATATAAAAAACTCTCAAAAATCTTTATTATTTTTCTAATAGGAGGCTTTATAATTTTAAGCAGTGGAACATTAAAATCCGTAACTTCGTAGAAAACGATTTAGCCATATTATAGCACTTAAACATATGTAATTATCAACGATAGGAGTTTAAATCAGAAGCGAATAGTGTACTTTTAATGCCCGCTACTGTTTATTTTATTTTAAAATTCTTATCGTAAAATGAGAACCTTAAAAGAGGAATCTGAGTTGGGATGATTCAAATATCAGTTGAAAAATATAATTTGGGTATTATTTTCTTAACCAATTTTTAATGCATTACATTATGCATTTGCAATTTAAATGTATTAAAATAATATTAACTAAAATGATAAGCAAAATGATTTATAAAATCTTTTAAAATTTTATTTTAAGATGAATGTGATTTTAAATGGAGTTTAAACAAGATGACATTAGATTTATTTTTAAATCGATAAAAAAAATAAAATTTTTAAAAAATATATATAAATATATTTTTAAGGTAAATGATAAATTAAATGGTATGAAAAATTAAATAGTTTTATATTTAAATGCAGAATTATGGTAGTTAAATAAACATTAAAATATTTATTGAAATTCGTTTTTTATAATAAAAATTATATATAGGTCTAATCCTTCTTTACCAAATCTTAAATATATCTAAATTTTAAAAAGTAATTTCATTACATTACACTATTGAAAATATATAAAAAAAATATAAGATTTAAATTGATTAATAAAATATTAATGAAATAATATTAGAAAAAATTTAATATATTAATGAAATTTTAATATAAAAAAATAATTAAACAAATGAAATATAAATATTTTTAAATTAATATTTAGACTATAATTGGAAATCCGGCTGAAGTATCTGAAGGAGAAATAAATTATGTTAATGGAGGAATACCAACTGCTCTTGACAGTAACACTCCTAGAAATAGGAAACCAAGAAGTACAAGAACCCCTGAAACGTCCAAAACAACCAGAACACCGAAAACGACTAGAACCCCTAAATCAACTACAAATCCCAAAACAACTAGAACCCCTAAAAATACTAGAACTTCTACAACTACGCGAACATTGAAAACAACGAAAACTCCCAAAACAACTAGAACTCCTACAACTACACGAACATTGAAAACAACGAAAACTCCCAAAACAACTAGAACTCCGACAACTACACGAACATTGAAAACAACGAAAACTCCCAAAACAACGAGAACACACAAAATAAGTAGAAGGAGGAAAACTACCAGCCAGAGAACTACTGAAAGCCAAAGAACAACCCAAAGTCAAAGTACTACAGAAGGTAAACGAACTACCCAAAGTCAAAGAACTACTGAAAGTCAGAGAACTACTGAAAGTCAGAGAACTACTGAAAGTCAGAGAACTACTGAAAGTCAGAGAACTACTGAAAGCCAAAGAACTACTGAGAGCCAAAGAACTACCGAAAGTCAGAGAACTACCCAAAGTCAAAGAACTACTGAAAGCCAGAGAACTACCCAAAGTCAAAGAACTACTGAAAGCCAAAGAACTACACAAAGTCAAAGAACTACTGAAAGCCAGAGAACAACTCAAAGTCAAAGAACTACTGAAAGCCAAAGAACTACACAAAGTCAAAGAACTACTGAAAGCCAAAGAACTACTGAAAGTCAGAGAACTACTCAAAGCCAACGAACTACTGAAAGCCAAAGAACTACACAAAGTCAAAGAACTACTGAAAGTCAGAGAACTACTCAAAGCCAACGAACTACTGAAAGCCAGAGAACTACTCAAAGTCAAGGAACTACAGAAAGCCAAAGAACAACTCAAAGTCAAAGAACTACTGAAAGCCAAAGAACAACTCAAAGTCAAAGAACTACAGAAAGCCAACGAACTACCCAAAGTCAAAGAACTACAGAAAGTCAAAGAACTACTGAAAGCCAGAGAACTACTGAAAGCCAAAGAACTACACAAAGTCAAAGAACTACTGAAAGTCAGAGAACTACTCAAAGCCAACGAACTACTGAAAGCCAAAGAACTACTGAAAGCCAAAGAACAACCCAAAGTCTACGAACTACTGAAAGCCAGAGAACAACTCAAAGCCAACGAACTACTGAAAGCCAAAGAACTACACAAAGTCAAAGAACTACTGAAAGTCAGAGAACTACTCAAAGCCAACGAACTACTGAAAGCCAGAGAACTACTCAAAGTCAAGGAACTACAGAAAGCCAAAGAACAACTCAAAGTCAAAGAACTACTGAAAGTCAAAGAACCACTGAAAGCCAGAGAACTACTGAAAGCCAAAGAACAACTCAAAGTCAAAGAACTACTGAAAGTCAGAGAACTACCCAAAGTCAACGAACTACAGAAAGCCAGAGAACTACTGAAAGCCAAAGAACTACCGAAAGTCAAAGAACTACCCAAAGTCAAAGAACTACTGAAAGTCAAAGAACTACTGAAAGCCAAAGAACAACTCAAAGTCAAAGAACTACTGAAAGTCAGAGAACTACTCAGAGCCAACGAACTACTGAAAGCCAGAGAACTACTCAAAGTCAAGGAACTACAGAAAGCCAAAGAACAACTCAAAGTCAAAGAACTACTGAAAGCCAAAGAACAACTCAAAGTCAAAGAACTACAGAAAGCCAACGAACTACCCAAAGTCAAAGAACTACAGAAAGTCAAAGAACTACTGAAAGCCAGAGAACTACTGAAAGCCAAAGAACTACACAAAGTCAAAGAACTACTGAAAGTCAGAGAACTACTCAAAGCCAACGAACTACTGAAAGCCAAAGAACTACTGAAAGCCAAAGAACAACCCAAAGTCTACGAACTACTGAAAGCCAGAGAACAACTCAAAGTCAAAGAACTACTGAAAGCCAAAGAACTACACAAAGTCAAAGAACTACTGAAAGCCAAAGAACTACACAGAGTCAAAGAACTACTGAAAGTCAGAGAACTACTCAAAGCCAACGAACTACTGAAAGCCAAAGAACTACACAAAGTCAAAGAACTACTGAAAGTCAGAGAACTACTCAAAGCCAACGAACTACTGAAAGTCAAAGAACAACTCAAAGTCAACGAACTACTGAAAGCCAGAGAACAACTCAAAGTCAAAGAACTACTGAAAGCCAAAGAACTACACAGAGTCAAAGAACTACTGAAAGCCAAAGAACTACTGAAAGTCAACGAACAACTGAAAGCCAAAGAACAACTCAAAGTCAAAGAACTACTGAAAGCCAAAGAACTACACAAAGTCAAAGAACTACTGAAAGCCAAAGAACTACACAGAGTCAAAGAACTACTGAAAGTCAGAGAACTACTCAAAGCCAACGAACTACTGAAAGCCAAAGAACTACACAAAGTCAAAGAACTACCCAAAGTCAAAGAACTACAGAAAGTCAGAGAACTACAGAAAGTCAGAGAACTACCCAAAGTCAACGAACTACTGAAAGCCAAAGAACTACTGAAAGCCAAAGAACTACCGATAGCCAGAGAACTACCCAAAGTCAAAGAACTACTGAAAGCCAAAGAACTACAGAAAGCCAACGAACTACTGAAAGCCAGAGAACAACACAAACTCAAAGAACTACTGAAAGCCAGAGAACTACCCAAAGTCAAAGAACTACAGAAAATCAGAGAACTACTGAAAGTCAGCGAACTACTGAAAGCCAGAGAACAACTGAAAGTCAGAGAACTACTCAAAGCCAACGAACTACTGAAAGCCAAAGAACTACTGAAAGCCAACGAACTACTGAAAGCCAAAGAACTACCCAAAGTCAAAGAACTACTGAAAGTCAGCGAACTACCCAAAGCCAAAGAACCACTGAAAGCCAAAGAACTACTGGAAGCCAAAGGACTACCCAAAGTCAAAGAACTACTGAAAGTCAGCGAACTACTGAAAGCCAGAGAACAACTGAAAGTCAGAGAACTACTCAAAGCCAAAGAACTACTGAAAGCCAACGAACTACAGAAAGCCAACGAACTACTGAAAGCCAAAGAACTACTCAAAGTCAAAGAACTACTGAAAGTCAGCGAACTACTGAAAGCCAGAGAACTACTGAAAGTCAGAGAACTACTCAAAGCCAACGAACTACTGAAAGCCAAAGAACTACTGAAAGCCGAAGAACTACCCAAAGTCAAAGAACTACTGAAAGTCAGCGAACTACTGAAAGCCAGAGAACTACCCAAAGTCAAAGAACTACTGAAAGCCAAAGAACCACTGAAAGCCAAAGAACTACTGAAAGCCAAAGGACTACCCAAAGTCAAAGAACTACTGAAAGCCAAAGAACAACTCAAAGTCAAAGAACTACTGAAAGTCAGAGAACTACTCAAAGCCAACGAACTACTGAAAGCCAGAGAACTACTCAAAGTCAAGGAACTACAGAAAGCCAAAGAACAACTCAAAGTCAAAGAACTACTGAAAGCCAAAGAACTACTCAAAGTCAAAGAACTACAGAAAGCCAACGAACTACCCAAAGTCAAAGAACTACTGAAAGTCAAAGAACTACTGAAAGCCAGAGAACTACTGAAAGCCAAAGAACAACTCAAAGTCAAAGAACTACAGAAAGCCAACGAACTACCCTAAGTCAAAGAACTACTGAAAGCCAAAGAACTACCGAAAGCCAGAGAACTACTCAAAGTCAAAGAACTACTGAAAGCCAAAGAACTACACAAAGTCAAAGAACTACTGAAAGTCAGAGAACTACTCAAAGCCAACGAACTACTGAAAGCCAAAGAACTACCGAAAGCCAGAGAACTACACAAAGTCAAAGAACTACTGAAAGTCAGAGAACTACTGAAAGCCAACGAACTACTGAAAGCCAGAGAACGACACAAAGTCAAAGAACTACTGAAAGCCAGAGAACTACTCAAAGCCAAAGAACAACCGAAAGCCAGAGAACTACCCAAAGTCAAAGAACTACAGAAAGCCAGAGAACTACCCAAAGTCAAAGAACTACTGAAAGCCAGAGAACTACCCAAAGTCAAAGAACTACTGAAAGCCAAAGAACAACTCAAAGTCAAAGAACTACAGAAAGCCAACGAACTACCCTTAGCCAAAGAACTACGGAAAGTCAGAGAACTACTCAAAGCCAAAGAACAACTGAAAGCCAAAGAACTACTGAAAGCCAAAGAACTACACAAAGTCAAAGAACTACTGAAAGTCAGAGAACTACTCAAAGCCAACGAACTACTGAAAGCCAAAGAACTACTGAAAGCCAAAGAACTACCGAAAGCCAGAGAACTACCCAAAGTCAAAGAACTACTGAAAGCCAAAGAACTACAGAGAGCCAACGAACTACTGAAAGCCAGAGAACAACAGAAAGTCAAAAAACTACTGAAAGCCAGAGAACTACCCAAAGTCAAAGAACTACAGAAAGTCAGAGAACTACCCAAAGTCAACGAACTACTGAAAGCCAAAGAACTACCGAAAGCCAGAGAACTACCCAAAGTCAAAGAACTACTGAAAGCCAACGAACTACTGAAAGCCAGAGAACTACACAAAGTCAAAGAACGACTGAAAGCCAGAGAACTACCCAAAGCCAAAGAACTACAGAAAGCCAAAGAACTACAGAAAGTCAACGAACTACGGAAAGCCAAAGAACAACTCAAAGTCAACGAACTACAGAAAGCCAGAGAACTACAGAAAGCCAAAGAACTACTCAAAGTCAGAGAACTACTGAAAGCCAGAGAACTACCCAAAGTCAACGAACAACTGAAAGTCAAAGAACAACACAAAGTCAAAGAACTACTGAAAGTCAAAGAACTACCCAAAGTCAGAGAACTACTGAAAGCCAAAGAACTACCCAAAGTCAGAGAACAACACAAAGTCAAAGTACTACTGAAAGCCAACGAACTACCTTAAGTCAGAGAACTACTGAAAGCCAAAAAACTACACAAAGTCAACGAACTACTGAAAGCCAAAGAACTACTGGTAGCCTAAGAACTACTAAACGACATAGAACTACAAGAACATTAAGTACTACTAGAACTCCAAGTACCACGAGAACTCCTAGTACCACCAGAACTCCGAGTACTACTAGAAGGCATAGATCAAGAAGGAGACGAAGAACTACTAGGAGAAAAAGAACTACCCAAAGTCAACGAACCACTGAAAGCCAACGAACTACTGAAAGTCAAAGAACAACTGAAAGCGAAAGAACTACCCAAAGTCAGAGAACTACTGAAAGCCAGAGAACTACTCAAAGTCAGAGAACTACTGAAAGCCAACGAACTACTGAAAGCCAACGAACGACACAAAGTCAAAGAACTACAGAAAGCCAAAGAACTACTGAAAGTCAACGAACTACTGAAAGCCAACGAACTACTGAAAGCCAGAGAACAACACAAAGTCAAAGAACTACTGAAAGCCAGAGAACTACCCAAAGTCAAAGAACTACAGAAAGTCAGAGAACTACAGAAAGTCAGAGAACTACCCAAAGTCAACGAACTACTGAAAGCCAAAGAACTACTGAAAGCCAAAGAACTACAGAAAGCCAACGAACTACTGAAAGCCAGAGAACTACCCAAAGTCAAAGAACTACTGAAAGCCAAAGAACTACAGAAAGCCAACGAACTACTGAAAGCCAGAGAACAACACAAAGTCAAAGAACTACTGAAAGCCAGAGAACTACCCAAAGTCAAAGAACTACAGAAAGTCAGAGAACTACCCAAAGTCAAAGAACTACTGAAAGTCAGCGAACTACTGAAAGCCAGAGAACAACTGAAAGTCAGAGAACTACTCAAAGCCAACGAACTACTGAAAGCCAAAGAACTACTGAAAGCCAACGAACTACTGAAAGCCAAAGAACTACCCAAAGTCAAAGAACTACTGAAAGTCAGCGAACTACTGAAAGCCAGAGAACTACCCAAAGCCAAAGAACCACTGAAAGCCAAAGAACTACTGGAAGCCAAAGGACTACCCAAAGTCAAAGAACTACTGAAAGTCAGCGAACTACTGAAAGCCAGAGAACAACTGAAAGTCAGAGAACTACTCAAAGCCAAAGAACTACTGAAAGCCAACGAACTACAGAAAGCCAACGAACTACTGAAAGCCAAAGAACTACTCAAAGTCAAAGAACTACTGAAAGTCAGCGAACTACTGAAAGCCAGAGAACTACTGAAAGTCAGAGAACTACTCAAAGCCAACGAACTACTGAAAGCCAAAGAACTACTGAAAGCCAACGAACTACTGAAAGCCAAAGAACTACCCAAAGTCAAAGAACTACTGAAAGCCAGAGAACTACCCAAAGTCAAAGAACTACTGAAAGCCAAAGAACCACTGAAAGCCAAAGAACTACTGAAAGCCAAAGGACTACCCAAAGTCAAAGAACTACTGAAAGCCAACGTACTACTGAAAGCCAAAGAACTACCGAAAGTCAAAGAACTACCCAAAGTCAAAGAACTACTGAGAGCCAACGAACAACTGAAAGCCAGAGAACCACCCAAAGTCAGAGAACTACTGAAAGTCAACGAACTACTGAAAGCCAAAGAACTACCCAAAGTCAACGAACTACTGAAAGCCAAAGAACTACCGAGAGCCAACGAACAACTGAAATTCAAAATATTACTCAAAGTCACCTAACTACTGAAAGTCAAAGAACTACCCAAAGTCAAAGAACTACCCAAAGTCAAAGAACTACCCAAAGTCAAAGAACTACTGAAAGTCAAAGAACTACTGAAAGCCAGAGAACTACCCAAAGTCAAAAACCTACTGAAATCCAAAATACTACGCAAAGTCAACGAACTACTGAAAGTCAAAGAACTACCCAAAGTCAAAGAACTACTCAAAGTCAACGAACGACTGAAAGCCAAAGAACAACGGAAAGTCAACGAACTACTGAAAGCCAGAGAACTACCCAAAGTCAAAGACCTACTGAAATCCAAAATACTACGCAAAGTCAACGAACGACTGAAAGCCAAAGAACTACACAAAGTCAACGAACTACACAAAGTCAACGAACTACACAAAGTCAAAGAACTACTGTAAGCCCAACAACTATCACCACTACCAAACCTACGACTACTAAACTACCTACGACTACACTACCAAAGACTACCATATCAATACCTGCATTCGAATGAAACCTGAGGCTATAGAATAAATAACATCGAAACTATTACCATATATATATGTATCATTTTAATTTTGAAATTATTGGAAAATTTAATTTTTTTTACTTAATATCATAAATATAATTTATTTTCATCATATTTTAGCTTTAATAACATTAATTTTTAATAATATATTATTATTTAGACCAATAAAATTTTCTTATAACTATATTTTCATATAAATTATCAACCATTATATTATATTTGATATTATAATATATTTACTCTATATAGTTTATTTTGCCAATCCCGTAATATTAAACGAATGTGTAATAAATAAGTGACAAAGTTTCTCTTTATTTTAAATAATTAATTGACCTAACCCAAAAGGAGAGAAATCTGTTATGTCTTCTTAAAAATCAGAGTTGTTAAAAGATCCTTTTTCTAAATGTATAAAATGTTATCTAGATCCAGATACAACTCTAAAAAGTTGATACCGATACATTTTTTAAACGTATCTATACACTGATACAATTTTTATTATATAAGCTTTGCATAAACCTATATTAGGATTCTATTGTGAAAATGCATGAAATGATTACTGACTCGATATCGCATTTATCAAAATATAACTAAGATAATTTTTAAATTTAATATAATATATGAAAATATATGATTAAATGATTATAAATAATTATTGGATTTCAGTAATAAAATATTTTCAAAATTTTTGTCATTAAGGCACCTCGTTTATCTGTAAAGACATTTTTAACTACATTAAAAAGTCTTTCTACCAGGGCGCTTGAAGGGATTGTGTTATATTTTATGAATAACAATTTTATATCAGGATATTTTTTAAAAATACTAAAATCTCGACATTCATTTTTAAAAAAATTATTTAAAATTTGTTGAGTATCAAAATTTAAATGATTATCAACAATCATATTTGCTGCTGTTGGGTACTGAAGAAAATCGGATATTAAATTATTTTTTGCAATTAATTGAAAACCTTGAAAGTTAATCAACCAATCTTTGTATTTATTTATTTTTTCATTAACAGTGGTTGATTTTTTCTCTTAAAATATAAAATTACAATTGTAAACATTTATTTAGTATCTATAATCTTAAATGTTTTACAATGTTGCAAGTTGAGGTAATAACTGTAATTTTCGTATTTTTTAGTAAATATGGCAAAAATTTTACCATCAAAGATTTGTTTTCTTTATTTTGAGATATTATTTTAAAATATGCTCTATAAATTGGCTATGGAAAAACAATGTCTGAAATGATGATGCTTCATTGATTATTACTTCTTCCTCTTCACAATTAATATTAATCTAAAATTTTTAAAATTAGTATAAAATTAACCAATTTCATTGAAAATAAAAATGGCAGATTCCTTGAGTTGCATTGTATATCAAAATTAGCCTGGTTTACTGACATAATATTTAATGAATATTTTTATATATTTTTTTGTATATAAGTTTTAATATTATATATATATATATAATAATTTGTTTAATATATATATATATATATTTAAATTATATGCTCATATTAAATATTTAATATACATATTTTATTAATAATCATAAAAAATATTAATTTGAGTATTTTTAGATTTAAAATAGATTTATTTATTTCAAAAAAATTATCTATATTAGGTGACGTTTTTTAATAGGGTGTCTCGTTTGGTATAAACGTTATCATTAGTCTATAAAGTTGTCCATTGGATTCAGTCAAATTAATATATGGCCAATTCAACTTGAAGCTAGAGTATACAATAGCTGTTTAATACCCAGAAAGTAATTTAATATTATTACAATTCTTAAATAATATCTTATGGTTAGTTGAAACATACCATGCTTGGACTATGCAAGAAAATCAACTTTCACACAAACTCATCTAGCTCAAATTACCTTTAAATGTTTTCTCAGGTTGGAGCTACTAGCCTACAGCTAAATTTATACACCAAAGGAAAAGGAAATTCCATATAATCATTTTCCAAGGATCTCGATATGATCTGTACATTATCTTAATATTAATCTCTATTGTAGATTTTAATTTTTTGAAAACTAGATTTATAATGCATATTTTTAAATATTAATTTCTAAATAAAATAAAATTATATGATTTTAAAATTAATTATATAAATATATTTTAATAATTTTTATGTGTATTTTTTATAGAAAATTATTTATAAATTAGTAGCCAGCTACTATCGCTATTTTTTTTTAAATGTAGCTTTCTAAAGCTACCGCTCCTGAAAAAAATATAGAGAACAAAAGTGTAAATCATGCAAAATATACTATTAATAAAATCATAAGGAAAAGGATTATAAAAAATTAAGGATATGCTTAGGTTTGATATATCATTTTTTTTAATTTAAAAATTTTCAGGGGGCTCTTATAATTTTTAGGGAGCGCAAGCCCCTACACTTCCTCTCCCCCCCCCCCCAATGACGCTATTGAATATGATAAATCCTAGGATGAGATGGTTTAGGTCTCACCTCTTTCCTATTAAACATATTTTAAAGTAGGTTAAAATTTTACTGCTTTGATTCTTCAACTCAAAATAAGAATTGTATGTAACTCCGTGTTAATTGCAATTATATCGAAAATACATTTGTAAACTATGTCCCAGGTTATAATAGACAAGATTCCATTTAATGGTTTACCCAAGGTTGCTAAGATGGACCTGCTCCCCGAAATGCTTATCATATAACACGGATAAATGTTTCGAAACCTATGATACTCATGGCCGACTCTAGAATTTAGTGGCCGGATCTTATTTTCCTTATAAAGTGCTTGTACCTGAATTATTAAATTTCTCGAAGAGAACCCTATAAAAAGTTTTATAGCCACAAGAACAATACCATTAAAAAATTGAAAAATATATTAGTCTAAAATTTATTTAGGAATAATATTTCTTTATATATATATATAAGAATTTCGGCAATTTTTACGTACCGATCATTCTAGTTATAATAACACCGGATAGGAATGTATAAATATATATATATATAATAAAATTATCAAATATTTTAAGAAAAATAAAATGGCGGAATGTGGATTAATTAATATAATATATAAATTTAAATAAATTTTTTTTTTTTAAATAAATTATTTTTTTTAAAAAAATATATAAATATCTTTAAAATATATGAAACTAATAAGTAGAGCTGGACGGATATATATATAAGTATTTTTTAAAAAATGACTAGATATCAGAGATTTTTAAAAAAAATAATAATTCCCGATATTATACTTAAAAATATCAAAATTTAGGTGTAAATATCTAAAAAATATATATGTATATATAATATATATTTATGATGGGTTATAATAACAATTATAGATAAGTGAAATACTGCAGTTCAATTTTATATATTTTTTTTTAAGAATTAAAAATATTTTAAAGGAATTATGTGCCGATATAACCAACAGGCCCATACAATGGTGAGATTCTTCTGAAGGTATCCTTTATATATATATATCAAAAAAATATAGAAGAAAAAAAACCAATAATTTTTGTCATCATTTTATATCATAAAAACTCGTTTCATAAGGGAGGGAAAAACATTACGCTGTTTATTATGTTTTTAAAAAATAAAAATAATCCACCCAATCTTATTGCAAGCTTTTTAATATCGCATTTTATTTTAAAATTTATCTATCCATAGGGGCATATTCAATATTTTCCTACAGGGAGCACTATCAGGCGGAGATTTCCGCCATAAATTTAATTGGAGGTCTTTAGGTCAACTTATTGTAGACCTTTTTTTGGCTATATTTATACTCGCCTCATCGTTAAATTGAGTTTAAATATAAAAAAAAAATATAAGAATTTTAAAATTTAATTTTTTTTGAAGTAATTCAAAATTTTCCGTAATTTTTAAGCATGTTGTTTGTTTTTCCCCCCTTTTAATGTAGTTCAAAAATTTTTTACGAAATCAATCAATCAGCTGTAATATATTATGAATGAACTTTGGCGCCATTTTAAAATGAACGAAAATAACCATCCCTTCCAGCCACATGTTTATTAATTAAAATGTGTCATAGATTATTTTGTTAATAATTTTTAATAATATTTTATTTTTTTTAAAAAAAAAACGAAAAACCAGCAAAGAGATTCCAGTATAGTACAGATGCTTTGTATCGGAGGAATAGGATATTCTCAAATCCTCGCAAAAGCAAAGTAACGTGGTATAAATGGTGACCTTTACGTTTATTTATCAAAAATAACATAGATAATATTTTTAACCGCTTTTATTTAAAAAAAAAAAATGTAAATCGTCAGCGATCTTTTGATCGGTTCTTTATAGCGAAGTTCAAACGTCCATCCCAATAAAATGTATAAGATTGTTTTACCACCCCAGAATAAAGGGGAAAAAAAATTACAAACGTATTATTGGTTATATTCATCGTTTTAATAATTTATTTCTTCCCTGACCCCAACCTATATCGTCGCCTGAAAAATTAGATTTATTTCTATATCCACTTTTTGTCAAAAAATGACTTTTTTTTAAAAAAAAAAATATTCCAAATTATATTTAAAATATAAATTAATATCCTATCGAAAAACAATATAAACACCCCCCCCCCCCTAATTTTTAAAATTGATCTCCTTGTAAAATTACAATAAGCGCAGATGGAATATTCTAATTCTCAGGCGACGATAACACTTATGAAATATATTTAAATATATTTTTAAAAAAATGGCTCAAATTTTGTGGCTATTTGGTCAACTAAAAATAAATAATTAATATTATGAATGATTAATTTTATAAAAAAAAATCTAAAAAACATAAAAAACGGAAACGAACCGATATTAAATTTTAAACCGGAAAGAGCCGATATATTTTTTTTATAACGGGAGCAATGACATATAATAATACCTGGACTGACGATGCATTCATAATAATGCATTTGAAAGCGTCGTTGAATGCAAATCAGCTGGATCCGCCATTTTTGGTAACCTATATAGTAACAAAGCTACTATTATATTGATAACCTAGCTTCCTTACTATCTCGATGATCAGGCAATTCTTCAACAAAGTTTGCGTCAGACATAGGAATAAATTGGCCTCTCGTTTAAAATTTTTAACAATGATATTGGTAATCAAAATGGCGTCCCCAGCTGTTTTTATTGATGTACACTTTAAATGAATGCATCGTCAGTCTAGGTGTTATTATATGTCATTGCCCTAACCCCATTTATCGTAAAGGTGGTATTTTTTACGTTCCTTATGGTGCTTTAAATAGTTGTTTTTTTTATAGAATAAATTATGTAGCCTATATATTTTTTTTTCCATCTTCTACTAGAAATTTTACTTACTTCAATGGGTAAAATAGCGTGGGATACGGCATAGTTGGTGAATAAAAGCGAACAGCAGAGTAGTGATATACTGTATAAGTAAGAGTCGTGATTGTTCTAGAAAAAAATATTTAAAAAATTTAATGAACGCTAAATTATTATTTTATTTGTTTTCTAAGTCAAAAAGAAATTCCATTTTATTTGCATTTTGTTTGAAAATTTAATAAATATTTTGAATGTGAGATTTCAAATTCGGGCAGAGGGCTTAGGTTGAGAGGAAAAATCGATCTAGGTGTCTACTTCTAAGATTGCCAGTTTCCCCCCCCCCTTAACCCTGCATTCATAGTTAGGGCGAATTCGCGGCGGAAAATACAAATACCGGGTATTTTGTATAATTCGCCGCTAAATCGCGCTAAGGGACAAAAAGAAAAATGAGCTAAATTTCAATATTCAAGCCATAACTATGATGGAATGATGTTTATCTATTTTGTTCTATTTATTACAAATTTTTTTGTTTTTTCTTCAAATCTTATTGTGATATTCAATCAGGCAAAATTCTTCCTTTCGCGGAAGAATGGGAAGGAAAATATAAAATTAATATTTTTCGGGCCATGGAGCGGACCCATATCTTTATAGATATTGTTACCCCCTTGACTAGAATATTTTTTTATATCACCATTTTAAGGAGGTCTTCTTAATAAGCCTACGATTATTTATTTTCCCCGTTTGGACACGATATTATGCACCGTGTAATTTTAAACTCTTTTGAAAGGAATCGGTTTAAAAAATAAAATAAAAAAACTTGCAGGAACACCAGGCAAAACATAGCGCTCAAGCACATAGGTCCAAGCTTGATAAGCCAAAAAAGGGTGTGCAATGTGGAACATATGCTATCCATAGGAAATGGGCAAGTCAGAAATATAGCGTGCGTTTTTTTAACCGATTTGCAATAAGAATACTTCTCGAAACCTTTATAAAAGATATGGACAAGGTTTAAAATTTCCTTTTTTTTACATAATATTTACTAAAGGTCTGCGAAGACTAACCCCCTTCTTCGGCCTATTAAGATTTTTTTGCGCAAGATGCCCAGACCGTTATACCTGGTCGGTTAAATTTTTTTGTACGAATTTTCCGACCCTCACTTTTTAATATCTATATCCAATTCTGGTTGGTTTTTTTTAAATTAAAAAATCGGACTTTACCGGAAATGCATTTTATCATGTTTGGAATAACGGTAAAATAATCTACAATTCATAAGATGGGCATTCTAAACATGGGGGAAATTCATTTCCGGCAAAATCAGATTTTTAAATTTACAACAAAAAAAAGGCGTTAAAAAAATGTTTAAAGTTGAAAATAACACATTGCCGCTAATATATATACTAATCATTAACCCGTTATTTAAATTGGATAGGCCCTGGATAAAAATTAGAGGTTCAACGAAGGATGAAAAAAAAAGAGAATTTAAACTAATTTTCAGTTTGAAGATCTTGACAAATATAAAGAAAAATCGAATTTGGTTCCTTTTGAATAACGACGCATCGTACCAAATTAAATTCTGACAATCTTATTTTTATTTAATTTTTTTGAGAGTTTTACCCACTATCACAAATTCCATTCACTGATCTTTGAACTCGAGGTGCTTTATGTAAAAGATGAAAAAGATCGAAGGCGCCTATAGAAAAATGATTTAACTCTTTTTTTTAAAAAAAACCAAAAATTTTTATTTACATCGTTAATCGAAAAGTTTTCACGGGTTAAGGAGAATAAATAAGGGTATGCAGATATTTTTAAAATTCCGGGAAGAAAATTCTTCAATATATCCATCCTGAACTATATATCCCATCTAGAATCGTCATGGGTTTTAAGCGCGATATAAATTTAAAATAATTAAAATACGGCACCCAGACCTAGCTAAGGGGCGGGCCTGCCGGTCTGATTTATATGTAAATTCGCGAGCAAAAGGTCCCATTACTTTAATAACGAAGATAAAAAAGATGGCTTGGACATGGTCAAGGAAGAAGTGGGAAAGTTTTGTTATTTGTAAGGCACTGGGTCTATCGAAAATTAATTCGAATAATACGTTATTCGGTACAACTCGCATTCACGCGAATATTAAATTATTCGAAATTTACGAATCGGATATTTTATTATTCGATTCGATATTTTGGACGCTTATGTGACATACTGAATGCGGATGGAGGCGATATTTGTATGTTGTTTGCAAGGGTCAGATTATGCATAAAAGAAATTCCTAAGAGCATGCCTCTGAGGTGAAAAGTTTAAGTAAGCTGACCGTGAAGCTATAAATTACGCCTGCGGAAAGGTGAATGAAAGCGACATACGAAGCTATTAATTGAAAAGAATGGAGGGAGATGAGAATGGTTAGATAGATGTGTGGGTATATATGAGAAAGAGAGAAACAAGGAATAGCGGGAAAGGATTAGAATAGAAATGAATAGAGTGGTTATTGAAAGAAAGATGGTTGGCTAAAGTGATGCACTTCATGGAATTGGGATCAGGGTCTCGAGTAGGACAAAAGATGATGCAGATGAAAGTGATAACAGGATGACACGAGATCAATGGGTCTTGCAAATATCAATCCCCAAGATCGCAAAAAAAAGTGGGAAAAAGGAAATCACATATGAAATTGGCTGATCCTGGTAAACAGCCATTAAACGATAAAGAAGAAGTCTTATCCTAAAATATTATATATTTAATTGTAATTATGTTTTTAAGAAATAGAATTATATTAACCCCCACCCCATATCTGACTATCTCTTAATCTTAACCCTAACCTTGCCCAAGAGATTAGTTCCTCAGTCCAGACATGTATCTGAATAACATCTGCCACTTTTATAATAAAATTGTAACATTTACATAAATTTTGGTAAGTTACTGAAACTAGGGGAAACTTTTAATTTTTTTTTAAATTTTTTTATTTTTATATTAAAACAGAATAAATATGCGATCGTGTGTCGATTGGTGTATTTTATTGTGGCCATTAGTTGAAGATTTTTTAATTAATAAATATTAATTTAACGTATTTTTTTAATTTTACAAATATTTTCCCTCCTTTTTATGGATTACATAAATTTTACCGAGATCATTATACAAAAACCATGGCTTTTTCAAAAGATCATGAGCTTCTTATTAATCACGCATGTTGTTATAATAGCATGAGATGCTCAACATGTTCAAGCAGCTATCTATTCTATATGGAAGGAGAAAAGGAAGGAAATATTTTTTGTCATTTATATATGTATATGTGAATAGTCAAATTTGAGTAAATTCATTTAATAATTAAATGATATAAATTTATATAGAACTATTTATATTTTTTCTTAAAATTATATCTATCTATAATATAATTGTTTATATATTATGTTTATTCAAATAAGTTGCTTAATTATCGAGTATTTGATTTAATAGTCCTAACTTTGTAGCGTTCAATGTAACACATGCCTTTTTTTAAAATTTTTACAAAAATATATATATTTTTAGACTATATCCTAAATATAAAAAATCACAAATCTCGAAAATTACCCTAATTCAAAGAAGATATATAAACCATTAAAGAATTGTGAAAATTTTCACAAAAGTTACGCTATTCTTAAAACTTTTTGAGTAATTAAATTATCTTACATAAAAAAAATTTCCACCAATAATCACACGATCGCACTAAAAATTTCTCCTAGTTTCAGTGACTTACTAAGAGAAGTTAAGAGAAAGAAAGAAAGAAAGAAAGAAAGAAAGAAAGAAAGAAAGAAAGAAAGAAAGAAAGAAAGAAAGAAAGAAAGAAAGAAAGAAAGAAAGAAAGAAAGAAAGAAAGAAAGAAAGAAAGAAAGAAAGAAAGAAAGAAAGAAAGAAAGAAAGAAAGAAAGAAAGAAAGAAAGAGAAAGAAAGAAAGAGAGAGAAAGAAAGAAAAAGAAACAATTGTTGTCAGTATTTTTTTCCACTCATGAGATTTTTTAATTCCGATTAACAAAAAATATATAAGTCATCGAAAATTAATAGACAAATATAACTATTATGTACAAAAAAAATTGGTCACCCACCTACTAACAAGAAAGGAGCCATCAACGGGTAATAGAGGAAATATTTACACTGCAAGGTCTGGTAAACATTTTTAGGAATTTCGTCGTTAAACCCATTTTGAAAGGTTTTTCTATTCGAGTTGTCTCCCACCGTAAGATTTTCGCTTTTTTCGACGCGACCATTTCTATTTTGACTTTCTAAGCTACCTATGATGGCTATCTTGGAGTAGGGAACGAATCTTTATACAACAAGTATAAAGTTTTAATGTTTACAAACATTTCTAAATTTATGATACTCTCCACTTTACTTATTTTTCAAACCCATACCAACAAGGTATCGATAGATACCTAAGAAGATGATTATACTAAAAATGTATCGGCCGATATCCAAACCAAGCAAAATGATTCTAATAAAGTATCGACAGATACCCAGCCCAATACAATCGATACTAACAAAGTATCGACTGATAGCCAATAACGATATCAAAAATATTTATTAATATAGTGTATTTATTTTTAAAAAAGAAATATTTATCTAATGAAATTAAAAGAAATATGGATTAATCCCTCTTTTTTTATAGGCTTAGAAAATTGAAGGCTAATAATCAATAATATCGGCCGCTGTAATCGTAAGATTAAAAGTATCGGCCGATACAATATAGATACTAAGCGATATCGTGAATAACATCTTTTGTTTGTTGATCCGGCAGTATGATTTCAGGGTGAAAAACCTTTACTCTCGTAAAAAAAAATATTATGTCTAACAAAACAAGGAGCCATAATTTTATTCAATTAGTGCAAAGTCGTTCCATTTGAGAGATTTTGAAAAACGGAAAGCTCAATATTTTAGCCAGAAAAATTTTGTCTTAGCCTCATGATTTCGCTAATAGATGTACGAACCTTTGTGACATCTATGAGTATCTTAAGGCTTTCTTTTCTAGATAAAATACTGTTAGCCCTTTTAAAAATCGACTCCAATGGAACGGTTTTGCATCACCATATACAATTTATAAAAATACTTTGCACAAAGTAAGCAAGTTGTTTAGCCCGGTGTAACGTGTGAAAGTGATTACCGTGAGATTTCGAATTCTCACACCATCAAAATCTCGATTTTTATCGCTTCAAATACATTGGGGGCCATTTAAATCATCAAAATCTCACGGCTATTCAATATTTCAAAATCTCATAGATTTTTTTCAAAATCTCATAGATATTTTTAAAATCTTGCATTATTAATTTAAATATACTTTTAAAACGTCAGATTTGAATGAGGCTGTCAAATTAGAAATATTTCTATATAATACAATTTAATTTGAAATTCTTTTTCATTATGAAGTAAATTTTTAACAATATATTTTTTATTTCAGAAATATTTTAGCTCAAATTATAATGATATATATATGTCTTCCTAAAATGTTCTAAAGTTCCAGTGAATGTTAATAAGGCTAACTTTATTAGAAAGATAACCGCCTTCAAGATTATAGAAAATCAATTATTCTATGGGGAAAGTAAATTTTAGATATGTCATGATTAATTTTTTAAAATTAGCCATTTTAAGTTTAATGCAATATATTATTTTTTAACATTGAAAAATGCTCAGGCCATTGATTATTATCTTTTTTTCATCTAAAATTAATTATAGCTGCAAATGTAAGTGTATATATATATATGTAAGAACATTTGATAAAATTTTACATATAGGCATTATTAATTGCTATTTTACAACTAAAATTTAATTTAGATTATCACATAAAGATGAAAAGTAAATGTTAGATACTTTTATTATAATGTATATTGGGCTTATAAATGATTGCATAATTAATTTATTAAAGTTAGGTATTATAATATATACAACTAAAATTGTATGACAAAATTAAGTGCAGTTTATTATTCTAGCCATTGATTATATATATTTTTTTCTGCATCACAAATATTATTATATATATAATTTAATGATATTTTAGAAGAAAGAAAAGTTATACTGACAGGAGATGAACAAAAAAAATAATTAAAACAATACATGAGGGGGGTGTATCTACAGTTGCAGGTATTGCTATGGGAGGGCATCTGGGGATTAATAAAACTAATCAAATAATAGCTGAAAAGTAAAAATTTGCAATATTCTTTTGATTATATTTTTTAAGCTTTTATTGGTTGGGGAGCAATAAAAGTGTTAGAGAGTTTATCAAATCCTGTGAGGTTTGTCAAAAATCAAGCAGTCGTTTTGATAAAACCTCAAATGTTTTGCACAATATTAAAGTTATACCAAAGTCTTGGTATCAAATTGGCATCGATTTAATCCAGATGCCAGAATCCAAGGAAAAAAACAAATATATTTTATGTGCCATATGCTATTTTTCAAAATATTTAATGGCTATTCCTATTAAGGATAAAACAGCTTAATCTGTTGTAAAAGCCTTATACATCATTGTCAACACCCACCAATGCTATGAAGTAATAAAATAAAAATAGCAATTTTAACTGAATTTTATTATATTAATATATATTTTTTTAAATTTAATAAAACTAAATATATGTTTATTAAAGATTCAGATAAATGATCAAGGCAGGGAATTCTGTAACAATTTTTGTACAGAATACCATAAATATTGTGGGATTGTCCAGAGAGTAACCTCAGCCTACCACCCACAAGCAAATGGTTTGGTTGAGCGAGTTAACAGAACAATCCAGAACCGAATAGAAAATCGGTTTTGGATATCCCAACTGACTGGCCAGATGCTTTGGTAGGGGTGTATGGCATCAACAATTCTTGCATACACTCTTCTACGGTTTAAGATGAGCCATTTTAATTTCTAACTCTTCTTTTAAACAATGATCAATTGTTATTTTTGCCATAACCTCTGGTAAGGCTAATACATCCTCAATTTTGTTTTGTAACTAAATAATAACTAAAAATATAACATTAAAAATTATTTCTACTGTAAGAGGGCGTCGTGATTTCTGACCATACATCAGTTCATAGGGCGAAAATTCCGTAGAAGAGTGTAAAAAATTGTAGGTGCCACACACCCGTACCAAAGCATCTGGCCAGTCAGTTGGGATATCCAAAACCGATTTTGCTATTCGGTTTTGGATTGTTCTGTTAACTCGCTCAACCAAACCATTTGCTTGTGGGTAGTAGGCTGAGGTTACTCTCTGGACAATCCCACAATATTTATGGAATTCTGTACAAACATTGTTACAGAATTCCCTGCCTTGATCATTTATCTGAATCTTTAATAAATATATATTTTAGTTTTATTAAATTTAAAAAAATATATATTAATATAATAAAATTCAGTTAAAATTGGTATTTTTATTTTATTACTTCATAGCATTGGTGGGTGTTGACAATGATGTATAAGGCTTTTACAACAGATTTAGCTGTTTTATCCTTAATAGAAATAGCCATTAAATATTTTGAAAAATAGCATATGGCACATAAAATATATTTGTATTTTTCCTTGTATTTTGGCATCTGGATTAAATCGATGCCAATTTGATACCAAAACTTTGGCACAACTTTAATATTGTGCAAAACATTTGAGGTTTTATCAAAACGACTGCTTGATTTTTGAAAAACCTCATAGGATTTGATAAACTCTCTAACACTTTTATTGCTTCTCAACCAATAAAAGCTTAAAAAAAATAATTAAAAGATTATTGCAAATTTTGACTTTTCAGCTATTATTTGATTAGTTTTATTAATCCCCAGATGCCCTCCCATAGCAATCCCCCCTCATGTATTGTTTTAATTATTTTTTTTTGTTCATCTCCTGTCAGTATAACTTTTCTTTCTTCTAAAATATTATTAAATTATATATATAATAATATTTGTGATGCAGAAAAAATATATATAATCAATGGCTAGAATAATAAACTGCACTTAATTTTGTCATACAATTTTAGTTATATATATTATAATACCTAACTTTAATAAATTAATTATGCAATCATTTATAAGCCCAATATACATTATAATAAAAGTATCTAACATTTACTTTTCATCTTTATGTGATAATCTAAATTAAATTTTAGTTGTAAAATAGCATTTATAATGCCTATATGTAAAAGTTTATCAAATGTTCTTACATATATATATATATACACTTACATTTGCAGCTATAATTAATTTTAGATGAAAAAAGATAATAATCAATGGCCTGAGCATTTTTCAATGTTAAAAAATAATATATTACATTAAACTTATAATGGCTAATTTTAAAAAATTAATCATGACATATCTAAAATTTACTTTCCCCATAGAATAATTGATTTTCTATAATCTTGAAGGCGGTTATCTTTCTAATAAAGTTAGCCTTATTAACATTCATTGGAACTTTAGAACATTTTAGGAAGACATATATATATCATTATAATTTGAGCTAAAATATTTCTGAAATAATATATTGTTAAAAAATTACTTCATAATGAAAAAGAATTTCAAATTAAATTGTATTATATAGAAATATTTCTAATTTGACAGCCTCATTCAAATCTGACGTTTTAAAAGTATATTTAAATTAATAATGCAAGATTTTTAAAATATCTTGAGATTTTGAAATATTATAGCCGTGAGATTTTGATGATTTAAATGGCCCCCAATGTATTTGAAGCGATAAAAATCAAAATCTCATGAAATCACTTTCACATGGTGTCAGCCGTGAGATTTTGATGGTGTGAGAATTCGAAATCTCACGGTAATCACTTTCACACGTTACACCGGCCTGAAAATATTTTTTTCCAAGTCATCTGGTCCAAAATTATAGAGATCTCTACTCTATAAGTTTTTTGGAATTATAGCGATGAAAATTCTTACTAATTAACTCGAATTTTGCTTTCTTTCTTTATTTGTTTCATGTCCTAAACTTTGCATATATTTTTTTTCCTCTTCCAAACATTGAATAATTCTTTGTTTAGCTATCTTATTCTTATCATCTCCTTAAAATGTGGCTATACATCTCTTTATTTTGTATTTAAAATACCAAAAAAATATATATTTCAGATTTCTTATAATCTATACCTAATTACTATTCATAGTTTTAGACCACGATTAAATTAATTTTGCCTCAATTAAATGATTAAACTTTGACAATAAACAACTTATTTTTTTTTCCTTTTAACTAAACTTCAAATTTCTCCTTTAAAAATAATAAAAAGTTTATTTGAGGGTCTCCAAATGGCAAAATTTTCAGGTCCAGTCCGTTGGCAATTTAGTAAATGCCTTGCCAATGTCGGTCCAGCCCAAAAAAATTGTTTGAACTTTACCCGGGCCCGTTGGGCATAGCAAATCTCTAATAGTTATATCTCGAATATCAATTAATATTGAGATTTGAAAAAAAATTTTAAGGATATATGCCATCCCACTCCCGTCTTTACATTATTATGGCATAAATTTGGAGAAAATAATAATATTAAAAATTGTTTGAGATAAGATTTTTCGTTATCCAATGGGATTAAATCCAGGTTTTGGATTTCTTTTCCTTTTTTTAAAAAAAAGATAATAATTCTAAGATAAAAAAAATAAGTTTACTTGTGAACTAATAATGCGAAAATCATCTTGGGGAACCAAAGGACATGCTGAAGAAGGGTTAAGACTACGATAGAACCAAAATGTTTCAGTGATTTGAAGGTGTACGCTAGGCTCGATTTTAGGGGCGTCTTTTTACGATCCTCTCCTCTTCCATGATATATATACATATGAGAATGAAAAAAAAATGTAATTTTAATTTATAAACCCTTTCTTATGCTGGTTTAAAATATGACTATTTGGACAAAGGAGTCAAAAATGATATGGCACCCTAAAGTGCAGAGCCTTTTGATATTATAGGTTAGGTTTTGGTTAAAAAGTTAACCCCAAAATTTTATTGTCAATTTTTTTTAAAAAAAAAATAATTAGGATGTAATTTAAACATTTTAATCCTGGAAGAGGCTAAAAAATTAAACCTTGAATGGTATAAATTTTGAATCATCATTTTATAATATAAATCCTATATTAAAAAAAAAAATTTCATTCTCATTCTCTTGATCATATGTTTGGGAAAGAATCAAATTTTGATTGCGGAACGTTCTAGTTCTAAGTAGGGATGTAAACTTCCCGGGAAAATAGAGATAATTTGGGGAAAAAAACGTTTACAGATCAATATTGATTATTTTTCTTCAAGATTTACAAGCATATTATTTAAACAAGTATCACATAATTTATTCTGTTCGCTATCTTTTGAAGATGAAAACGATTACGCACATAAGAGTTTGCATATCTAGAATCGAGCAAATTTGTCTTTTGCAGAAGTTTCTTTTCCCCATAGACTGGAAAATTGTTCTTATAAAACATCGATTTCCTGATCTTACCAATTTTTTAAAATCCTATCTCGGAAGTAAAAAATATAAAGTATTGCCTCCTTGCAAACTTAATTTGTTTTAACAGGGTAACTAATCATCATAACTATACCACATGCCCAGCGAGTTGGGCTAAGCAACTATTAGCAATCCTATTTTTTTTTATCTCGAAGTAGTTGTTTTGCTTAAAATGTTGATAACAGGTGTGGAGTATTGCATATTTTATATAATACTTTTTGGCCTTCGCTACTAAAATTTGATTTTACTATATTCGAAGTAAATGAAGTCCATCACACCCGATGCACTTGATACAGTGTCCATGCTCTATTCATATTGGTTGCATCAATAGTTATAATGGCGTTAATTTTTGTTGTTTCCTATTCCCTCAATTAATATAATAAATTCATTCGATATATTCATTTCAGCACATGCATACTTATGGGGCTTGGGGTTTCCATAATGAAATTTATATTACATACCACTCTTTTGTCCACCGATCAATAAATGAGGATCATGTTTTTATCTAATCTTTAGATTATATATTTAATCCTTTAGTATTCATTGTTTAAAAAAATTTTTACCGACTAAATATTTTTAAAGTATATTTAAATACAGGTTTTAAGGATTGAAATAATTTCTTCCAATACCACATCGGATTATGGCAACAAATGGAAAATTTTATATAGAGGGCTGTTGCGAATTCAATATCTAGTTCACTTTGCTTTTCAGGTGATACACTATCAATATATTACATGTCATTATATGCTTTGTCTGCATTATATTGTATTTTTTTTTGATATGATTAATTGATTCAGCTCAACATATTCTATTAAAAATATCCTTAAAATTTCTTGTATTATATATGTTAGCATCAATGTGTACTTCCGGTAAAGTGTTATTTTTTCTACTTTAAAATGGGGGTTTTATTAAATTTAAAAATCGGATTTTTCGGAAATATATGCCATCATGTTTGTAATACCTATCTTTATGAATTGTAGACAATTTTGATGTTAACCTTTGACTCATTTTAAAAATTATATAAAAAATCTATGGAAAAACGAATATAAATTATATTGAGTTCAAAATTTCCTGGCGAAATTGTCTACTATTCATAAAATAAGGTATTATAAACATGCTGGAATATATTTCCGGTAAAATCTGGTTTTTTTAAATTTAAAAAAAAAGACCCCCCAAAAAATAATTTAAGACCGCATTCATAGTGGATCCGATCCGACACGATTTAACAGCTGATCGATTTTTAAAATATGTTTATGAGATCAATTTTTTTCTAAATAACATTAATTTTATCTTTAATTCTATACATGATAATAACCTAAGAAATATTGGTTTTAATAAAGAAAAATGGATTCTCAAAAACCGATTTTTAAAATCGACAGCTGTTAAATCGTGTCGGATCAGATCCACTATGAATGCAGCCTAATGTAGAAAAAATAACACATTGCCAGAAAAAACGTTGACGTTAACATAAATAAATTTCATCTGCATTTAATTTTTAAATATTTTTTTCCTAAGCTAAGTAATTAATTAAGACATCGTAAAGTAAATTCGATGGAATAATAATTAATTTAGACTTGTTAACAAAGATTAAGAAATTTAGGTTCAACTCAAGGAAATCGCGGTTGCCTCACTAAAATTATCGGAAATGAACCTGTCAGATTTGTTATGCAAGATGAATTAAGCTTACCTAATCCAAAACCTTTAATTAACCATCAATCCAGTTCCATATCTCTCTAACCTTTAATATCCTTACCTCAATTATTACATGTTTTAACTTCAAATATATTTCCTTCAGGTGAACATTACTTAATCGAGAATGAGGGTATTACCAAAAACAAACCATATTTTACGATTTATCAACCACGAGAGGAAAAAAAATAATTCAATAAAATATGAAGAAAAATAAATCGCCATTATTTAATCAAAAAGCAACATAACAAAAATTTGGGAAACTAAAGGGGGTGAAAATTTCCCTTATGTTACACCACTAGTTCCAAGTCCCTAAATAAAAATATAAATGAAGCAAGGATATTTTATTTTTTAAATAAAAAAATGACCGAACTTTGAGAAGTAAAATTTAGCCACCAGATGGCAAATGATGAAGCTCTGATAGTTGATATTGCACATAGGGAAAAAGCACGTAGCCATATACATGATGTAAAGCCAGCCCACGATATAGAGAGAAGGATAGGCGAATTCGAATGTTAGGTAACCTGATGACGAATCTATCTGCGAAGTATCTGTTAACAATAAAAAATAAGCCCTGTTTTGAGTCTGATAATATTTATGTTATTTATTATTATTATAATTTTAATAGTGATATCATTATTACATATTTCATTATTACATATTTCATTTTTATAAATACAATACATAAATGATCTATGAGCTTCGATGTTGTAAAAAATTGTTTATTTGAAGTTAATAAATATTATCAAAACCCAATATTTTATATGATACTATTTAAATTATATTTATTTATATACCCCCCATATCGATATCCATTCAAATCTTTATTACTTCCATATTAAAAAAAATCAAAGACAATTAAAAGTAAATCTTTTTCTTATAGAAAATATATTGAAAAACGTTCATAAATGTCAATTACAAATCGACAGATACAACAATTATCAACTTAAAATTTAATCTCAACCACCCCCATTAAGGATGGGACTGAACTGTTGTAAGTCGGCAAAGCCGGGTTCAGGCTTGGGCTATTTTATAAAAATTGGACAGTTAATTTTTTTTTTTAATATAGGCCCAAATTTGGTTAAAGGGAAATGTAAAATAGAATAATATTGTTTCCTCTTTTTTTCATCAAAATAAAACGATAACTAGAATTTCTCTGGGATTAGGTGAGAGCAATTAGTTATTTTAATTTATATTTGAACTTAAATTACGAGCCAAGCAACATCTTAAGGCATACATAATATTTCTCTGGTTAAAATATTGAGTTGGCTGTTTTAAAAAATCGACATAAATCGAGCTGCTTAACAAAACTAGTGGCATGCAGCGTGAAGTATTTGGAACGATCTAGCTATGCCCGATCTAAATAAATCGAAATTTCCCAATGAAAAAAATAATTTTAACATCTATGTAACAATTGCGAACATCGCAAATTATAATGGTGGTCAAGTTCCATTATTTTATTATGCCGCTAACCTTTGAATAACTTTTACTAGGTAAAAATATAAAATTGGATATTAAATATAAATATATATAAGAATTACCAGAAGTTATCAGATGACCTGACACGTGACCCAATATAAAATAGAGTGTGAGCGCATGCCCCAGAGTAAACATAGCAGACAGCATGTATCGATGAGCATGAGCGGATTGATACACCTTGAGCGAGTTTACCAAGATAGCCATAGTTTTGTGCATCAAGCGAAGGCGGGTATTGTGGATGAAGAAAGTGAGTGTAGCTACGAGCTAATGATATAATAAATATATAAAGGACTCTGTGATAAAGGCGTTATAAAAAAAATTTTTAAGAAAAGAGATGAGTAAAGGAAAGAAAAATATCTAACCGTGAGAACTAGAGCTAGCACAGTGAGGAATATTAGCAAGTACATGTTGATGGAATCTATTTTAGATCGCAATCCCACTTGGTCAGCCTTTACGAGGTACATGTGTTGGCATATAAGAGCCCAGCCCAAGAAAGCGACTAATACTTAAATAATAAAAGGTTTTTGTATTTTACAGATAAGTACATTATAGTAGTAATAGGTATATCTAGGATTTTCCTATAAGGAAGGGGGGGGGCATTATTAGGTTGTTTTTCTCATCAATTTTGCTGTCTTTATTAGATCCATGTTGAATTATAGTAGTTTCTTAAAAAATATTCAAGAAAAATCGTACCTTTTATCGAATTCACTATTATTTTTATAATCCTATAGCATATTTTTATTTATCAACGCATCGTAACATATGTTTTTCAAATTTCATCGTACCTATTTATTGGCTTTATTTTGTAATAACGCAACGCTTTAACATAATAGTGCACACAAATTGAACGTTTACGTTTTGCCGTAATTTTTAAATAAAAAAAATGTGAGATTGCTTTTTTTGTTAATATCGTCGCTTCAAAATTTTAAATAAGTTCTAAAAAAGGGATTTGTCTTTGAAAATTATATTATCGTCTGCCTTCTTATTTCTTTAATTTCTAAATATTCCTTTTTTAGGATTATAAGTAAGTTATTTATATTACATTTTTATATAATATTCCAAAGCGAAGAATAAAAAAAAGTAATGAAAAAGCAAACTTATTTGCATTTATTTAAATGGTTGCTAACGCCAAACGGTAATTTTACCAATTTACACGAGGCCATTTAAAATGCCTTAGTTGCGCTTGCAACGCAGTGTTTAAAACGCTCAATTTGTGCGCACTATAAGCGTTTACTTACAAAATGATGACTTAAAAACAACCTAAAACCAATTTTGTAATAACTTTATTTTATATTAAACGCCTTGCGTCCTATCCTACCCCTTTGAACGGGGTCCAAAATTTCTTAAAATTATTAAAAAAAGAGGGGAGATCATAAAGGGAGAAATGAAATGGTCAGAATTTTATAAAATCGATAAATGGAATCACGAAAGGACCACGAAATAAAAATTTAAAAAGTTTTATAATATATAAAATTACCGTAAATAGACAATATTCCTAAGACGACGAGGAACCATATTGCCAGCTCGTGGTAATTCGAATTTAGCGCGACATTCACAAAGGCGTACGTTAAGACTTTAATTTAAACATTATAAAAATGTAAATGTAATTTAAAGGGCTTTCCCTCATAATTTTATTGATAAGGTGTTGTGCTCTTTTCAACCCCTCTCCTTAATCTTGGGGCATATTCTACCAAACTGGAGTCACTACTTAACTGTTATATTTCAGCAAGATTTTTTTTTAATTACCATAAGTGACGAATGGTACGATCAGTATCAATATCCTATTCCTGTAAAGATCAGCTGTGCAGGCCTTGATAAAGGCTATAACCTTGAATTTGAAAGGGCGCCCAGGTTTAGAGAGATCCCCATCTATAAAGTGGTTAATGTGCGCGCGAGTTAAACGAGTATAATTAGTGACGTAGGCCACGCACTTGTTCAAGATAGGTATGCTAAAAAAAAATATTAAATAGTAACTGGGGATTTGGATGAAAACTTAATTAGAGAAATAGAGTTAGTTTGTTGTTTTAAAATAATAATTCGAATGGAAAATAGGAAGGGATATAACAAGATTAGAAGAACAAATTTTAAAACGCATAGGACTTCCGTTTGTTGGATACGAAAATCAAAATATTATAAAAGTCAGAACAAAGATTTTTAGGTAATTAGAGAGGGGGGGGGGGGGTAATGACTAGCATTTCCCAATATAATCTTCTCCCGAGTGCAGTATATTTTAGGCGAAGTCTAAGAAAGACAGATTTGTTTCGTGAACAATAGTGCACTAAGATTGGGAATTACCGGATCCAGTTTATTTTAATCCGATTCATTTTTTTCTTTCTTACAAAAAAAAAATATACTTAATAATTTCTTTCTTTCTTTCTTTCTAAAGGTATCTTAAAAAAACTAAAGAACCAAAAGCAATAATTAAATAATATAAAAAAATGCTATTTTCCTATCAATATTTTTTGAACTAAAATTCCGAATTTTTAAAAATAAATAGTAGCTAGCAAAAAAAAAACAAAAGAAGAAATTACGGTCTAGACAAATATTTAATAATTCTTGATTTTTTGGTTCCTATATTAGTGTTGTTAAAAGGCTCGAGATTTGAGCCCATTTTTAGAAACCGTCAACTCAATATTTTAAACCAGAAAAAATGTTAGGAAGACCTGAAGATTTTGTTCAAAGATGGCAAGGAACATCCGAAATCTCGAGGCTTTTCTGGCTAAAATATTGAATAAGTTGTTTTTTTAAAATCGACTCAAATTGACGTTTAACTAAAGATCTGCAAAGTTAGGCCTGGCCCGTACCCGGCTCGAGTCCAAATAATCGGGTTCGGGCCGGGCCTAATATTTTTTAAAAAAATTCGGGCCGGGTCGGGTCGGATTTTGTAAATTATTTTTAAATATATCTAAATTTATCAATTTTTATATTTAATTTTTTATGTAAAATAAAAATATTTGATTTTATTTATTGAAACTAAGCGACATATAACATATGTCTTTTATTTTGAGTAATTATAAAAATTAATTTCTATATTTAAATAAATTCGGGCCGGGCCGGTAAAACTTTTATTAAAAAAATTTCGGGCCGGGCCGGGCTTTAAAAATTAGGCCCGATGCATATCACAACGTTTAACAACACTAGTTTCCGACCCTTAAGGTTTTCTCTGAAAAAAAATTATTTTTTTTTTAAAAATAAACAATAAAGCACACAACATTTTAAACAAAATATATCTGCGCTTTTGTTAGAACCCGTTTCTGGAACAAATTCTTGGAAATTTTAAAATAGGTTATGGAAAAATAGAATTTCTGGTAGTGGTTCAGAGATTTGATCCGGTGTTCCCAAATTTTGATTCCATACTGCGAAATAGTAAACATGATAAATAATTTTAAACGTTTCCTGGCCTCTCTATTTTATCCTATTCATTTTAAAATATGTTTTAAGATAACGCGAGAAAAGGTCCCGCATAATTGATGCAAGCTCCTCATTGGTCGGGTCGTAGACCAATGATATTTAAATAAAGTAAATTATGGAGAAAAAAGAAAAAATGAATTTTACGTGGCAAATAGTGGTAGAGCAGGGCAGGGACCTTGTTCGTTGAATAGGTACCGGTTGTTAAAATCGCCGTTGACTTCGGGAATATTTAGGGTGTTTCCTTGCTTATTTATTGTAAAAGAGAAATTGTAACGTGAGTGTAACGATCTTAAACGACAAGTATTCAGCGATCCAGTAGTGAAACAATTAAGGTCAACTAACAGATTTTAGATCGGGACCTATAGATGAACCAATCTTTTTGAGAAGCAGTTCAAACCTCTCTTTTAAATATTTTTCACTGGACCGTGGTCTGGACCGGTTTTTTAAAATAATTTTCCTTATTCGAAGATTCATATAATTTTTTTAGTATATTTTTTGTGTATATACTGTATATTACTTTTCTAGAGGAGATACTTTTAGTTTTTGCGATTCTCTTTATTTATTTATTTTATCACATTTTTATTTTCAAAATTAAATATTATTTTTAATTTTAATTGTTAATTATTTTTATATTTTAATAAAATGATAAAACTACAATTAAATTAAGTAAAAATAACAAAAATATTCTTTAAAAATAACAAAAATTTTTTTACAAAGCCAGTCTTCGACCAGCCTTTTTACATGGTCTGGACCATGTGTAACGGACCGGTTGAGATTGTAGTAGAGTGGAGGGATGCTTGGACAAGTGTTGGATTTACTTATTGTAAATATATTAAGTTATCTGTTATATGAAGTTAAATAGAACGGTGTTAGTTAAGTTAAATAAAAAAAGGGTGCTATTATTTTATTCAATTATTTAAGATAAAGGATTATCGTATATTTAGTACTCACAATTATATATTGTTCGCATAAATGAGCACCCGTCGAATTCATCCATTGTCTCAGATCACTTTCCGAATTGAGACTTTGGTCGGGGCATTTGCTAACACAAATGGACTTACTCTTCAAAGGGTCAGTGCCCAAGTGAAATAAATACCTAATGAATTATGAATATATAATTTATGTCCGAATTCGTAAAACTTTTTATCGATCATAGATTGAGCATCTTGAACTAAGGGCTGTTTTTTAGAGCCACAAATATGACCAAAACTTTCAACTGGTAAAAATAGCCTTTCAGGAGCACCAATGAATAAGCTGTAAGCACAAATGTACATCTGATTTATTTATTTATTTTAAAATAAAATTTTTTTTTTAAAATAACATATTATTAATTTTCGTTCTTGATTAAAAGTGCAGTTTTATTTATATTAAAAAGTGGCCTAAATATCAAAAATATTATTAATAAACTTTCGTAAATTTAACGAAAAAAAAAAGCAAAATAAGCTATTTATAATGTAAAATATACCTACAAAAATACGAATCGAATAATGGAATTATTCTTATTCGTTTAAATCAAATATTATTCGATTTCGATTCGAAAATTTTATTTAACCATAAATTAAAAAAGATAGAATATTAAATATTTTGTAAACTATGGATAAAAGACAAACAAATTTTATTGGTAAGATAATATAGAAGCATATATATAGTATTTTTATATATAATGTAGTAAAATCAATATAATATTCATATCATGTAGAAGACAAATATACCAACAACAAATTTTTTAAACAAAAAGTTTTTGCAAAAAGTAAAATTTATGATTTCTCCATCATCAAACGACGGAGAAATATCTGGTTCGCCCGTCATTCTTGACGGGATGGCTACTAGTTTATTATAATTGTATAGGTGTTATAAATTGCATATAAAAATAAATACTTTCTTCGTCCATCATAAAACAATTTTCGGAAGTTAATTTTATATTATGAAGTTATTCGAATAAAAACAGCCGTTAACAACAATTTTAGAAATATAAAATGTTTCTTCATTATTCCACCAGGAAATTTTATTAAATAGGAATAATTGCAAATAATTCCTACTAATAATATATGATTATTTTTCAATATTATTATTTCAATCGAATAATCTCTAATAATTCGATCGAATAATAGCTAAAAAATTATTCGACGAATAATATATTTTCCTTATTCGAATTCGATTCCAATTTTCGAATCAAATAATTGTGTTATTCGTATTCGTAAAATATGAATCGAATCGAATATCGAATAACAAATAATTCGTTTTAAAATAATGACCCAAATTATATTTTCGAATTTATGAGAAGTTTATTGATTTTTAAAAGTTAAGAGAAATTAATAAAATTTAATAAACTTTAGCTTTTAAAGTTGTGAAATTTACAAAATGAAATAAAGTATGCAATATTAATTTATATTTTTCAAATTATAATAAGAAATGGGTCTTTATATTAATCAAAATGGGAACTATATAAATTATTGGGTGAGAATTATAAATTTCTAAATTTACAAAACTTTTAAAAAAAATTTGGACTTGTGTCATAATTTTATTAAAGCTACCAAAGTTTTTGATATTTTAAATAATGGGTGTTAAAAACTTTTATTAAAATCATTTTAAAAACTGCTGAACATCTTCAATAAAAATACTGTGCGACTAAATTAATTCTAAAGCTGTGAAACTAAATATTTCAAACTGTGCATTTGAATAACAACCTTTTTAAAGTATTGATAAAATCTGTAATCCTTTATTTCAATCCTTAGCTTCCAGAAATAGCATACTACTTTTAAATTAGTAAATAGTGTGCTACTTTTTTTAAAAAAAATAGCAATAGCCATAGTGGGCTCTTTTTTTGAGTAGAAAAGTAAGTTTCATATAATGATGATGATGAACACACTCTATAAAAAAAATACTAATATTTATTTATAATTATGTAATTAGTTTTAAAATTATATCCTCTATATTTAATTTCATTTTTGAAAACTATATTTCAAAATCTGCATTATAAATCTAATTTACCAAAAAAATAATTAAAAATATAAAAAGTTACTAATCAAGATTGATATTAAAAATAGTGATCTGAATCGGGCCTAATTTTTAAAGCATGGGTCAGGAAATTTTTTTTAAAAATTTTGCTGGTCCAGCCCTAATTTATTTAAATATCGATATTTTTTTTTCATACATAAAATAGAAGATTGTCATATGGCGACTAGTTTCTACAAATAAAATATATTATATTTTTATTTTACATAAAAAATATTGGCACCTTTTTTGATATATTTCATTCAAGATAAAATTTTTCCAAAGCCCGGTCTACTTTTACAGATCTCTAATCAAAAATAGATTTGAGATAGATGATAACAATGAAATTTAACAATTTCCCATTTTTTCCCCAAATTTGTAAAATATAAAATAAATTAATAAAGGATTTAAATTTGACTGCATAAAATGTTGAAGGAAATTATTGTCTAATTAATGAAGCCTTCAACCTAAAAAAAACATACACTAGTATTTTTAACAAGTCTCAACTTACTTTTAAATAGAATTAATTTAACTTCTTACAACTCTCTTATTGTTTATTCTATAAAATTTGGCAATCTTATATAAAATGTAACTCATTTTTAATTTTTCTTCAAATATTTTAATTATTTATAAAATTGATAATAATAAGAAATTATTGGTATCCAAAAAAAACAAGAATGAATAATATATTTATTGAAGACAAGTTCAAAAAAAATAATTCTTTTTTCACTGACGTTTTCTATATATTAAGCAAGGTGATGACAGTATTATTCATAATTTTAATAAATTTATAACTGTTTTAAATTTAGAATGTCCACACTTCAAATTTCAGAGATTGAAGGATATTGGTGTAATATAAGGGGCTATCGTTCAATAAATTAAATTTAAACTAATCAGGACCAACTTTTCTCAAAAATTGGCTGATAATTCATAAATAATTTTATAATTTTTAGAGAATAGTCTATTTTTTTGGTTGATAATTCCCGATATTTTTTATTCTAATTAAGATTCCAAATATTTTTAAGCCCATTTTTTTATTTGTTCCAAAAAGCCCAACCCATAATTAGCTAAAATACTAAATCTATAAATAAAAGATAAACAATTTTTTAATGTTATATGATTACAAATGCACAAACAACTTGTACAAAAATTCTTCATGGACCAAGGCAGGATTGGATTTGCAGACTTCTTATCTGAATGGCAAAAACAGTTTAAAATTTTTTTTACTTAACTATGCTTATGATTTTTCAAAATAAATATACTATATTATTATTTTTTGTAGTTGGCATGGATGGTATCAGTTTGGGCATTGGCTCAAATGGCAGTATGCTAGATCTCTGATTATTAATTTAAGCCATAAAAATGCCTTTTAATATTATAAAAACTTGTCATAGTTTATTATATTTATGGTTTATTTTTCATAATCTATAAATTTTAAAATTAAACATAAATAAGAAAAAAAATTATCATTTTATTTATTTAGTTAATAGATAAAAATTTTTATCAATTCAGGGTTCAATGAAGGCCAATTTTTTATTTAATTTATAAAGGTTATTATTTTGAGGAACAATCACTGGTATGGCTTAAAATTGAAGATATCAAATATCAGTGCATCTCAATTTTAAACATGAATTTCATAAAAGAAAAATTTAATAGATCAATTTTCATTATTATAAAATTATAAGGCTATAAAAGGAAAGTTCAGGTATAAAGACAGAAATATATCTGATTTAGTAATAATACCTAGTAATTACTATTTTTTGTAGCATATTTAGATTTATATATGAAATGATATCCTAATATTCATATAGCATGTGGTATTAAGCAAATATCTTTAATAAGATGCATTTATGTAATTACCATGGCACAAAAAAAAATTAAGAAAACAATGAAAGCTGGAATGTCGGTCCATGATGAATGTTTAAATTTTCTTTCGTGCTCCTGCTCACCCTATAACAAATAATTTAGTTTGTTTTACTTGAATTAATTTTACCATTCAAAAAAAATGGAATACACAAGTTTATCACAAGAAAAATGTGAAATCTGTTACCAGTCATATAGATTCATAGATTTGACAGCTCTGAAAATTGACTAATTTGAAAAATAAATGTATAGAATAATTATGAAGTTATGGGTTTGGTAGGGTAATAATAAAATATTTTGTATAAAATTTTATTAAATGAATTATGAAATTATATTTTCTATTTACCCTTCTTAAGCGTATTGCACTTAAAACCCCCAATGGAACACTAATCCTGAAAATAAATCATAGCAAAAACTATAATACGATGCATAATCTCTGAATATCTCTGAGGTAACCTATTAACAATAGTGCAACCTAGAATACGAATCCGAGGCACAAAACTAGGGAAAAAACCTGGTGGAGAATTCGCGAGCATACACCCAGAGCACAAACTCCGAGATTAAAAATAATTTTAAATTATTTATTTTTGTTTTAAAATTATAAACCTTAAAATACTCCACCAATTTTTTAAAATCCTAATTTGGTTAGGTAATTGTCCTATTTTTAACCTTGCAAATTATTATCTATATAAAAACGAATATTTAAGTCCAAAATTATAACTTGCTATTGGATATTATTTATTTTTTTAAATGTGCTGCAAAAAGAATTTCTATTTTGCATATGGTTAATTAAGTCATTATTTTAATTTTACGTTCTTTTCCCCTAAATGAGAAAACTTTCCTACATAAATCGAATAAAAATACAGAATTTTAAAAAAAAATTATACAAACGGAGAAATTTATATTATTTTGCAAAACTTATATACTATATATATAATTCAATAGCATTAACCATCCATAATTAGACATTTAATCATTGCCTAAGATATATTTTAATATTTGGTTTTTATTTAATAAGGTAGACAATTAAAAACGTTACCTTTAAGTTTTTCAGCATTTTTAATGTGTAAAATGAACTTTCTACAAATGGTAATAGGTAATGTCACTATCAATAAAAAATATTTAAAATTTGTCTGTTCTATATTTTCAACCGCTTAATAAAATTTTCAAGAAAGATAGTTTGCAGATTAATAGTAGAACAAGAAAATTGTGTTCAATATTTCTAAAAACTACTAATCATCTACTTTATCGGAAACATTGAATGCACTTAAACTCTTCACACTTTTATAATATTGCCTGTGATAATTAATTATTGATTTCAAGATCTTAATAATAAAATGAAAACTTTTAAATATTTTAATAGGTCCATCAAATTTTCATTCATTACTGTTATATAAAAAGTCTAGATAATGTTGTTAATGAACTAAGTCTAGTAGACTTAGTGGAGTCAAAATTTTGGTAGAAAATATTGACCTCAAACTGACTCGAGTTGTGTTCACGAACTAAAGGGTTAACTCACATTATGGATTATAATCGCTAAATCAAGTTACTAACATTAGTCGTGAACTCAAGTTATGAACTCGAATAGTATTGTTAAGCGCTCAATTTTTTAAAACGACCAAAAAATATTACGCAAGCCTTGAGATTTTGTTAATAGATGTCCAAATCTTCAAGCAAAATATCTAGGCTTCTGTAATTTTTTGAACTAAAATATTGGGTTATTCGTTTTAAAAAAATCGATCCGATTAACAACACTAAACTCGAATCTGTAATTCAAGTTATGAATTCGAAAATAAAACTTAATTTATGAACCTGATTCGTAAACTCTAAAACTGTATTCAAACAGGGGCGTCGCTAGCCTTTACAATCTCAGGGGGCTCAACTAAAAAAATTTTTGGGGGGCTTCGCCGCCCATGCCCTCCAATTTGCTGGCTCGCGGCCGGGTTTTATATTATATTATACTTTTTTTAAATTTGTTAACTCTGAACAATTGTTCTGAATTTTAATTTTCTCATTAATTATATTATGAAAATAAACTGGCATATAAATAATTGAAACAATACAAGAAATTTTTAAAAATAAAATTTTTTAATACAAAATCTATTTATTACAGTATAAAATATTTTCGATTGCTGATATAAAAAAATTTGCGTCTAAAGAATTACAAGTGATAAAAAAGATTAATTAATTCATACATATGCCTCAATTGATAATTATTAAAAACCACATAATGCAATAATATAATTCTTAGCAACTTACATTGACAAAAGGTTATAAAACTAATATAACTCTCTGTTACCATTTTACACATTTATAGAATGGACTAATAAGGAAAAATTTATAGGCCTATACCAAATCAACAATTCTTGAAGAAGAGAGTATAAACGACCAATCCAAATCATAAAACGATTAAGTAGTTAGAGCTTCCTTTTAGAGATGATGGTAGCTAGATAAGTAATCGATAAAATTATTGTGAGATATTAAATTTCTAAAAGATTATCATCCATTTTAAATGATATATAATATATAAACGTACACAGTTGACCATTACTGTTTATCTAAAAAATGCAATCATATGATCTCAGCCGTTGTAGTAATAATCTTAAATTACATAGCAACACAAATAATAGATGCTGGTTAATTTGCAGTAATAGCCATGAGACTCACGATGTAAACGAGTATCAGAATTTATTATGTTGGATAAATTGATAAAATAAAAAAACTAAAAATCTTTGGAAGAAATATTTGTGCAAATATATTGAAGCCTTAAGTTATTTACACGGCAAGGATGCCATATTAGAAATGAAACATTTTGGAACTATAAAATAAGGACCAGAATGATACGATTAAACTATTAAGATTTTATATATTGTAGCACCACCTATAGTTGGTATATTATATCCAATGATATATATATCATTGATTGTATCTTAAAATAATACAAGTTTGTAAAAATATCAAAAATATACTTGTATTAAAAATTTAACTCAAAACTGTTTTTTGAAAAAGAAAAAAATAGCTTTCCTAAGTAAAAAAAGAAAAGATATCAAATATATTACATCTATTGTAGAATGAATAATAAAATGATTAATTTTTAAAATTATTTATCATTATAACTAAATAGAGGGGCGTTAAATACTTGAAAGCAAATTGTTACTATATTTATTATCAAAAACATTTATTAGTAATATTCATTATAATATTAGCTGTAATATATTAACTGTCAAATACGTCTATAAAAGTGGCATTTTATCTAATATTTTATAAACATCTGTATATAATAGAGGATTATAAACTATATGTCTACTTACTTATTTTTTATTATACTTATTTGGACCTTGAAAATATCTTTAGGAATAGGTATGATAATAAAATTTAAAAATAAATATACAGTTGATTAGTCATTTTGAACTCTGCTAATTACAATATTAAATTTTTTTAGTTTTCAATTAATAAATTATTATATTTATTTAATTAGGGTTATAAAATAATTTAAATAATAATAGTTAATTAAGCTTCAACTGTTAATGCTAAATTGATATTTAGTGAGTGATATTGATATTCTATTTTTAACACAAAATTTGATTGCTAGCTGACATAGTGAAAATATAATTTATATGTATTAATTTAATCTAATATTTAAAATAGTATTCATTTAATAAATATTTAGATAGTCTTATTAATTTTTAAATAATAAAATTAAATCTATATTTTACTTAATAGAATTATAAAATAAATCTTTCAAGGGGCAATCAAAAAAATTTTTATTTTTAGTTCAAGGGGTTAAGATTCCAATAAAAAAAATTTTTGCTTCAGGGGGCTATTCAAATTTTCCAGGGGCTCGAGCCCCTGCCCCCCCCCCCCTAACGACGTCACTGTATTCAAATATAGAATTAAGTGTTACGAACTACTAAAATTATATTAAATTTTGAGTCATAAACCAAAATCAATAACTAAAGTCAAAAGATTAAGAACTCGGGTCGTTTAATTCAGCACTAAATGTGTTTTAAATTATTACAATTTACTACCAAACTTCATCTATCTTTCTCTGCAGAGATATCATGGATAAAATAATATATGAAGTTACAAAATAGAATTTGTACAAGGCCAAACTCGATTTGTTGGAAATTTAATAAACACTATAATTATTAATATTCTTGAAAATAATATTCATAAAAATAAAATATTTTAAAATCAAGCTCTGAATCTGACTAAGTCCAAGAAAATGTCTATGGCAGTATTTAATGCAGCAACCACAAATGCCTTACGGGACAAAATATTGTGAACAATTATCTTTATTTCTTTAAGGGAACCCAATAACTTCTTCCAGATTTGGGCATATGATGTTACATCTCAAATATATTTATAGATATATCACATCTCTTGGCTTGGATATCAATGGTGAGTGACTCTCCCAGAATATTCACACTATATAATTATCTCCTCTTGAATTATTTTTTTCTATCATAGGAAAATTCACAGAAAATGCATATTTAATTCATTTTTTTCTATATATGGAAATTCATAAATTGTAATAATTTTTATGTTTGTACTTAATTATTATCATAAAATATTGCTTAATTCTATTATTCATTTTATGTTATCATTTTTATTTATGTATTTTAAATTAATAAACTTAATATTTAACGATAGCTGGGTATAAATATCAATATCATTTTTACAACTTGCACATAGGCGTATCCATGGGGAGAAGGCAAGGGGAAATTTTTTCCCCTTCAGAAATTTATCACTTTTTGTGAATATCATTTTAAGCTCATAAAAAATACCCCCTTAGTCTTCCCTCCACTCTCTGACCCTCAAAAATGTGTGCATATATCTTAAACAATAATTTGAAAGAAAGAATGTAAAAGTTGATATTTTTTTTATTCATCATAATTTATACATTTTTGGAAAAAAGCATTTATATATATAAAAGAATCAAAAATGTTTTTTAAGAAATGGAATATAAGCCAAAGATAAGTCTTAGACAAAAGTGAACTGTATTATAATTATTAATAATATATCAATAAAGTTACTAAATAATATAATATATTAAATATAATTTTTTATAAAGTGAGTAATATTAATTTATTTATCTTAATAAAAGTTAAATATAATTATAAACTATTGATAAAATTAAATCATAAATTAAATCAAAAAATTAAAGTACAATACAAACAGTG